GTAAAAAAAGCTTCTATAACTATGGGTCGTTAAATGCATATAAGGGATCTAGGGGAGTCAAAAGGGCAAACTTGGAAAGTGTTTTTTTTTGAAATTGTTAGCTTAAAAAACACGATAAAACTTCGAAAAAAATCACTGCTGACATAGAATTTACTGCTGAATCCAATGGTAATATCGAAAAATTACTTATTTAATCAGAAAAGGTAGTTCTTGCAAGGGTAAGGGGTCGATTTATGATTAACTTTTTAGGGGTTGATTTTTTTACAACATGGGTCTATTTTTTAAAAACTACTACCTTTTTTCCATAAAAAAGGTACTCTTATTGCAAGTCGCTTAAAGCAATGGTTTTCGAGAAAATTGAAGGCAAACATTTTAGTGTATTTATTTTTTGATGGGTTGCTCACAGGTTAATCAACATAAATTTATGAAAATTATGGCGTGGTTATTTCAATTTAGAATTACCAAATCGCCTTGTTAAACAAGAGAAGCGCCGAAATTATTTTAAATAATAAAAGAGTGAGAAATTAAAGTGAAAAATATTTTATTACTCTTATGGAAAGTACCGTATTTTTTTATCATATCAGTCTGAATCTTTTATTTAAAGTAAATGTTCAATGTGGCCACCATTCATTTCAATACACACACCTGCTCTTCTCCTCCAGGATATGCGTACCCTATCGAAAATCCTTGGCGTTGTACGAATTTGATTGGAGCACTCAATTATCCGTTGTCGTAGTTGCTCTTCAGTATTAATCGGCACTGAGTAAACCAAAGCTTTTAAGTGACCCCATAAGTAGAAATCAAGTGGATTAAGATCTGGTGATCTGGCTGGCCAAGCTTGTGGACCACCACGTCCTATCCAACGCCTCTCGAAAACTTGATTTAAATGATTTCTCACGGCTAGTGGAAAATGAGGTGGTGCACCATCGTGCATAAAATACATAATCTGCCTCTGTGCTATTGGAACTTCCTCCAAAAGTATTGGTAAATGGTTTACCAAAAAATGAAGGTAATTTTGTCCATTAAGCCTAAAAGAATAATAATAATTAGGAATTGGTGACGTTTGAACAGTTTTAAAATTTACCTATTGGGTAGAAAGAATGGTCCAATAAGTCTATCTCCAAGAATTCCCGCCCAAACGTTTACTGAGAATCGAACTTGGTGTCGGCTTTCTATGACAGCATGAGGATTTTGATCGGACCAGTAATGGGTGTTGTGGTAATTAACAATCCCATTTTTGGTAAACCCTGCTTCATCAGTGCATAAAATGTTTGACAGAAAAAAGGGTTCTTCTACCAGTTTTCTTAATAACTAACGACAGAAATTGGCACGAGCGGGATAGTCTGGAGGATTAAGGGCTTGTACCCTTTGGATGTGGTATGGATACAGCAGTTGAGTATGAAGAGTCGTCCACACAGTATGGCGACTCACGTTTTCTCGCGCTGCAATTCTCCTTACAGATAACCCTGGATCATCCTCTACACTTCTTAAATTCGCTCTTCAATTGCTGGTGTACGCACTGTAACATTACGGCCGCGATCATGGTGCATGTTACTAAATGAACCTTCGTCTCTCAGGCGCTAAAAGACCGTTTCCGTTCGCTCTTCCATAAATAAAATGCATATCTGTCAGTTCAAGTACAGTGTATTTCATAATTTCTGGTATATTACACTTCAACAACAAGAAACTGACAGAAATACTTAAAAACCAGAATAATTTTAGGCAAAATTATTTAATTTCTTTTTGCTAAATTAAAATAAAAAAAATTGTGATAAGGCCATGTACATAGCTATTGTTCTGTCCTAATTTGATTATTCCATTTACAAAAAGTATTCATTGACAGTGGCGTGCCCACAAATTTCTTCTGGGGTTTGGGTTGCCACTTACCTTCCGATTGTAAAGTTGAGAGAAAAAAATTGACCCACAGAGAAAAAATAATTTTTCATAATAAAATTTCTTCGACATTACTTGAAAATATTTTTTTTTCTTTGGTGTTTGAGTTTTTTGGGAGGTTGATTAGTTTAACACGTCACAATTTTCATAAATTTATGTTTATTAATCTGTGAGATACCCATCAAAAAATAAGTAATTTACTTTTCGTTTTTCAACTACAGGTTTACCAAACTTTTTGCCTTCAATTTTCTCGAAAACGGTTGCTTTAAGCGACTTCCACCAATAAGAGTAACTTTTTTATGGAAAAAATGTAGTTGTTTTTAAAAAATAGACCCACGTTGTAAAAAAATCAACCCCTAAAAAGTTAATCATAAATCGACCCCTTACCCTTGCAAGAACTACCCTTTCTGATTAAATAAGTAATTTTTCGATATTACCATTGGATTCAGCACTAAATTTTATGTCAACAGGGATTTTTTTTCGAAGTTTTATCGTGTTTTTTAAGCTTACAATTTAAAAAAAAAAACACTTTCCAAGTTTGCCCTTTTGACGCGCCTAAATCCCTTTATATGTATTTAACGACCCATAGTTATAGGAACTTTTTTCCCTCCCGAATTTTTTTACACTATTTCAATGACACCCTGTATATTCATATTGATAGCAATGAAAAAAATCTTTAATAAATTCAAATATAAGCTTTATGCATATCTTTCATCTGAGACATATTATTCCTATGTAGAATTTATGACTGATACTCGACGATCCGTCAAGGTATCTCTTTATTATATAGTTTGATGTTTTATCCTAGTGTTTACTATACTATTTTAAATTTCCTTTTTACCTTATTTGTAACATTTTTTTTTTAAATTGTATATGTTGACATGGCTAATAAGTCTATATTTTTATATACTTTTTTATACTTTTAAAGATTATTGTAAATATGTATGTCTCCGAGCCGAATAAATATTATTAGAACTCCGATCGGTTGTGATTGTTGTGGAAAAACGACTAACTCTGTTAGTACATGTTGTGAATACTGCTGAAAACGTAAGTGTACAAAAAAGTTTTTTTGAACTCCTGTAAAATAGCCTGAAATAGAGTTAGAAGATTAACACTTTTCACCGACGATATTCAAACCTTTATTCTCGCCAGAAATCAAATCACGATTGGTGAAAGACTGTCTAGAAGACCTGAAAGAGCTAAGAAATCAAAACACAATGCCTTTGCCTGAGTACCAGGCACAAAGAATATCAGGACAATGAGAAGACAGACGAACCTGACGAACTAGCTCGAGAAGGCTCAGGTAAGACAATAACAGCCCCCGAACCCTTCTGTCGAGTTGCTAAAGCATTGTGTAAGACATCAATCAAAATGATAGCAAAAAGTCTAAGGACTGGTGGACCAACCAACTAGACTGACCAAGGAGTTCATCATGAAACCGGCAGCCAATTTTACAAAAGATCTATTTGATCAAAATTGACAAGTCGTTAGGATAACAGTCGCCTAAGAATGTCATCGATTCAGTAGAAGACGCCAATTTATCCCGGTTCTGTGAATCAGAAGAGGAAACAATCCACATATTGTGCCAGTGTGAAAGGGGCCCGACTAGATTAAGGTTTCTGACACGGTGAAGAAAAACCGAAAGTTTATAACTACAGGAGCCACTGTCCAAGCTGCCAAGACTAATAAAAAGGTCGCGGTGGACAACTCCTAGTTCTATTTATGTAAATTCAGTCCCACAAAAAATCTAATGCTTGAAATTGGGTTTGAGTAGCGTTTAATCGATATATCCTCAACCACCTTATCTGATATCTATTTTAGATCGTTGTTGATGCATAACCTACAATGTCTGCTTCTGTCAACCGGTAAATATCTTAACATATTGATATATTTTGCGATTTTTAACCAAAAGTAGATTTTAGTGAATCGTAGTGATGTTTTAATTGTAATCCGGGTTGATATAGATGCAACGGAACTAAAACTTGGGATCAATTTTTCAAAACAGATATTGGTGTCTAAATTATTTATGAGTTCAAAATTGTGTATGTATTGCAATGTTTATTTATTTATTTTAATACTGTATGCTGTACTTCATTCCACATTGTGGTGCCTTCAGGAGTCACCCAGGGCTCTCACTTAAGGCCCTTATTGTTTCTACTATTCATCAATGACATTGGTAGTATTTTCAAATATGCCAAGCTTCTACTTTTTGCAGATGACTTAAAATTTTACATGGTTCTTCGTAATATAATTGATTGTCTTCTTCTTCAAATTGGTGTACAAGCTCTCCATACTAATTGGTCTGTGAAAAACTCTATGTCTCCCAATATTTCTAAATGTTGCACGATTACATTTTGTAGGGTGCATAACAAAATAATCTTAGATTATTCTATTTGCGATACAGTCCCTCAATAGAGTAACTTTAACCTACATATTAATCAGATCACTGGTAAAGCTTTAAAAACCCTTAGATTTATACTGAGAAACACCTAGTGGTCTCTTGATAAATTCAGTCAAAGTAGTATATTCTGCATATGTCAGATCCCTGCTAGAATATGGGTTGCCCATCTGGATATCTTTTTACAATGTCCACATTTCATCTATTGAAGCTATTCACAATAAGTTTTTAAGCTGGATACAATTTGGGATTAATTAAGATATGGGGAATATAAATATGAGGATATACAGGGATCATTGAATTTAGAATAACTGGAATTTCGTAGATTAACTGTTGACCTTGTATTATTTAAATTGATTTCGGGTTTAACTAATTGCAGCAACATGCTTCAAAGGTGTACAAGAAACAAAGACTTGTTTATTGTGCCCTTTCAATCAACAAATTATGGCTATTTTAGTCCTTTGTCAAGAATGGTCAGAAAGGCCAATGCGTTGGATATCGATTTTTCTGCCAATCGTATTGTAGTATGTAAATATTTGTATTATTATAATATGTAAATATTTGGTTAGACACTATATTTTTCTTGTATACTAAATAAATTAATAAAGATGAACCAGAGTTCCCAGGAAATAAGTTTTTAGGCTTAATAATAAATCAATTTGCTATAATTCAAGAAATTATTTTATTTGTTTTCAAGAACAAATGTGTAATCAGGTTGAGTTATACTCCACAAATCTACATATATTCAAACAAAATGTTATGAATTTTCTTATTAAAATTTATGAACGTTTTAAGTAGGTATTACATTTTTTATTATTATAAAGCACTTGTAGCTAAATTAAATTTTATCCTGTAATTGGACCACATGTCTGTTCAGATTTTATTTTTAGTCAAAAATGGATTTTTGTGTTATCTAGTTGAAACTAAATAGTATCACAGGTACAGTCTGCAAATGCATGGCTCACATTTACCAGCAAATTTTGTTTATTTCTACAACTTCTTTTATAAGAGGTGTTTTAATAAGAAAAATCACACAAAAATATTTTTAAACCCAACTTTAATATAAAAAAACACTAAAGTAATTAATTTGCCTTACTACTAAGAAACATACATAGAAAAAAAATTAAAAATCCAGTCTTCCAATGGGCAGTCTTCGATTCAATTCAATTTCTCAACGTAAGATTTTGCGAAGTTCTTCTTCTCCAATGTAAATTTCCCGACTCGCCCAAATCTATATCATTGCTATTAACAATAACGCTGGCTGGTCTAGGCTCCATAAACATAAGATTAGAATCATCATCATCATTTCTCTCATCTAACTTGCTACTTTCTTTATTATTAAATTGATTGGTATACTGAACAGGGACTTTAAACTTAATATTCTTGATCATAGCGTGTTTTTTGTTTTGGAATGAAGTTTCATAATGCAGGGGACGCGTTGAATTTGGATCAAGTATTTTTTTACAGATTTCTGTTGATGTAGGCGGTGCGGCTTTGCGAATGATGTTTAAAGATGGTAGAGATGTGTCAGTTGACATGATTTTTTGACAGATCTCTACTGATTCCGCCATGTTGTAGGTATTTGGAAGCTGAACGACGGATTGCATATTGCCGAAATCTCTGAAAAATTAAGTACAAACATTTTAATATTACAGATAATGAACCACTAAGGGTATCTTCAACTCTTTGTGCATTTAATGTTTATTGTCTGATTGATTTACTTGTTTAAAATACAGGATTTACCATAAATATACCGACAAACTTTTAAAATAAAATATTGGCTTTTCTTTTTACACTTTAAGTCACCCCTCTGGTCCCCAGAAGGGGTTAGCGGCAGACTCTCTCAATCAGGCTTGGGCTTAAGCCTGCCTTTCATTCTCTGGGATTCGCATGGCAGCACTGCAGCATCATGGGTTTATTGTTACACCATTTGGATACCATACTCTGTCCCATTCATTCAACTCCTGCATTCTATCCATATATTCATTCCGCCATGTAAATGGGCCCCGAGCTGTACGAGTTTGGTCACCAATCGAGATTGTGGTAGGTATATTCGCGGCTGCACCTGTGATCGGTGTTTTGAATACCTTTTACAGTTGGCCAGTGAAATATATTAAAACGTTTTAACCGATTTCAATGAAAATTTTAGATTGATATATTAATGAGGTATCTTTTGAATCTATTAGTGTGAATCCAAAATTTCTATAGGTGTACACAAGGGGAAAGTCTATTACTTTTTTGTGAAGTGTTTTTCAGAGATGTTTATTAATCAAATATTTTTTTATTTTGATGTTCCCTAGCACTTCTAAAAGTTTGTTGGAAAATTTATGGAATACCCTATACAGGGTGAGTCGGGAGGAGCGCACCAAACTCTAGGAGTATATTATACACGTGAAAATAATGTAAAAAAACTCATATGTTCTTATCCGATTTTCATTTGTTTTCAAGTTATGGCGTAATAAAAAATGTTCATCTAGCTTTCCACTTCTGAATTTTAACATTATCAAAGTATGCCATATGTTCAAGGCATTTGATAATTCTGACGTTTTGATGAACTGTCAGTGTACAGTGAACAGTAACTGAACGTTTAATTTCGAATTTATGTGATTGTTAGTGTTGCAAAATGCCAGATACTTATTCAAATTTAGAATATGCAAATATGGTGTTTGTTTATGGTTTCTGTAATGGAAATGCTACACCGAAGACATTCTGATAAAAACGTATTTATTAGAGTTTTCAACAAATTGTGCGAGACTGGTAAGCTTCCCAGTGCTTTCATAACATCTGAACGCGCTACTCGACAAGGTTTTATAGAAGTAGAAAATATTCTGCATCTAGTAGAAGAAGATGCAACTACTAGCTCACGGAGAATTGCCACTCAATTGTGAATTCCACAAAAAAGAATGATAAACACACTCCACGAGCAAGGCTTATATCCTTATCACGTACAGAGAGTACAGCACCTACAACCACAGGATTACGCTAACCGTAGTATGGAGTTTTGTCGGTGGATAAATAATAATCATCGTGTTGTATCGAGTATACTCTTTACGGATGAAGCTACATTTACCCGTAATGGAATTAATAATACTCGTAACTATCATGTATGGTCAGACGAAAATCCCCACGCAACAGTCGAAAGCAATTTTCAACATCGGTTTTCTGTAAACGTGTGGTGTGGTATGGTTGACAGTTATTTAATTGGCCCTTTCATTTTGGAGAATCGTCTCACAGGAGACAACTACCTCAATTTTTTACAAAATGAATTACAAGGCCTGCTAGAGGATGTTCCTGTAAATATTAGAATGCAGATGTACTATCAGCACAATGGAGCTCCTGCACATGTCGCTCGTCAGGTCAAGCAACATTTGGACGAACGTTTTCCAGGGCGTTGGATTGGTCGTGGAGGTCCTATTAATTGGCCTGCAAGACCTCCAGACCTCACACCATTAGATTTTTGTTTATGGGGCTGGATGAAAAATGAAGTCTACAAAATAAAAGTGGACACACGGGATGCACTAATTAGACGAATTGAGAATACTGCAGCCTATATTAAAGAAGAAAGAAATGAATCAATTAGGAGAGCATCAAACGCTCTTCGTAGACGAAGCAGAAAATGTTTAGAAGCCAATGGCGGTATTTTTGAACATTTATTGGAAGAACGCTATGATTAAGAGAATTTTTATGTGTAAATTTGTTTATTTGTTAATATGCTATAACTTGAAAACAAATGAAAATCGGATAAGAACATATGAGTTTTTTTACATTATTTTCACGTGTATAATATACTCATAGAGTTTGGTGCGCTCCTCCCGACTCACCCTGTATATCAAATCTATTGGGACCTGAAAATAAGGAAAAACACTCTCTACTTTAAACACAAGTTACTATTTATGCAGACAGGTTAAAGAACCTTCATTAAAATGTACAAATCTGATACATTTTGACAGATGTTTGGACTAAATATTTAAAATTCAGTTAGCTGGGTAAATTGTCTCATGGACACAGCCCAAAAAAATCTGATGTGTCCAACACATGACTTTCCTATCTAGTTATTATAGGCTTTTTCCGGTTATTTTGTACAACCTATTGCAGCATCTCTATAAATGTTTAGAGGATAAACTAAATATATACATTGTCCACATACATCTACCTCTAAACATTTTTCTATATTCATTGAAAACGAAAATACTGAAAAATTTAAATTTCCTACAATTTTTTCATTACGGTCCATTTTAGAAAAATCATGTATAAACAAAAATTATAGAGATCGATATCGCAAACAACTTTTAGTTCAACACTTTTCATAAAAATCAGAATTTTGCACATTTTGTCAAATTTCTCGAATACGAACCATTTCAGGAAATTTTGACATAATATTAGAAGTAACTTTTATTTGAACAATTTTTTTCTCCAAACATAAATAACAGATATATTCCATAAAATATAAAAACGGCCTCCCACAAAGTACCCCCCAGATGTTCCGACTTTGTCCAAAATCTAATAATTTCACGTCAGATCTAAAAAGTTTAAAATTTAATGTTTTTTTTATCCGTTTTTGAGTTTTCTTCAAATTTCAAAATTTACAATTTTCTCAAATTTCTCGAATACGGTCCATTTTAGAGAAATTATGTATAGGATAAAAATTATAGAGAATTATAATACAAACAACTTTTATTTGAACAAGTATTATAAAAAAATATTTTTTTACATTTTGTCAAATTTCTCGAATACAGACCATTTTAGGAAAATATATATATAGAACAAAAATTTTAGATAATAATATAAGAAGTAACTTTTATTTGAAGAATTTTCTTCCCCAAACGTAAATAACAGATATATTCCATAAAATATAAAAATGACCACCCATAAAGTTCCCCCCCAGATGTTCCGACTCTGCTCAAAATCTAATCACTTCATTGGACGCTGGAACAAAGCTTAAGTTTAAAATTTGGTGTTTTTTCTGTGTATCGGTTCATGAGTTATTCGACACACAGACACACACACAGACATCATCGCGAAATTAGTCAAAACGGATTCAGGGGACCTCAAAACGTAAAAATCCGTCGAAAACTCGAGGTAAAAAAATCATGATTCCTATACTTTCCTTATATCTGTATACAGATAGGAAAGTAAAAAGAGAAGAAGAATTTAAAATTCATGTAATTCAGACCGAACACATTCTCAATCTCAAAGTTTATCAGGCTCATAAATTTTAAGGAAGGTTCACGCAACTGGATTATTGACATATAAATTTAACTGTTGCTTTTTTTAGTGATAGAATGCTATCACTTTTTGTGCCGATACGATATATCGGCCGATACCGATATTTACGTGCCGATATATCGTATCGGCAAACATATTTATACACGACCGAAGCAAAAACTGGGGAAGTCCCGTTTTATAATTTCGCTGCGAGGAAACGTTTGTGATTGGTAGTGAGTGACATTTCGGATTTCGGGGAAGCCCTTTATATTCTATAGTGCTTTAAAACACGGCGTTTTAAACTTGACTATTAATTAGAGGAGATAAAATAAATAATAAATTAAAATATTCTATTTAAATGGAGAGTTCAAATAGAATGGAAGCGGAAACGGACTCTGATAGAAAGAGAATGGTTGCAGATTATTTTGGACAGAGTAGTAGTAAAGAAGCGGAAAATAAAACAATTAAAAGTAATGGCAAAGGTAAAAGGAGCATCTTTTGGAGACATTTTGAGAAGATGCAGACAGAACAACCTTTTAGTGAATTAAGTAATATTTATGAGCCTAAAAGAAATAGACTAACTTCAGATAGGGCTGAAATGTTGCATGTTTTTGCATCATAATATCAATCAATTAAATTTTAAGTATTAAGTATATACTGTATTTAGTACCTGCTACATTAGGTATATTTGTTGTTAATGTTAGGATTTGTTTTACTTTTTTAGTAAAAATGATACAAAGTATTTCATTTATGCACTGAAAAGAGTGAAAAGCGCAATTTTTTTTGCCGATACGATACCGATACTCGGAAACAACCGCCGATATATCGGTATCGTTCTATCCCTACTTTTTTTTATCTAATTAATGTGTTTCGTTTAAAATAATTTATTTAATAAGTAAAACTAATAAATGATCAAGGGTAATATAATGATACCTTGATAAATAGTCCACTATTTTTATTGGATCTAAATTTTGAGCGTTTTTGATATCAATTTTGTCATTAATAATCTAATTAGATTCCGAGAGCTTTAGCTTGAGGACTTTATTTGATTATTAATGACAAAAGTATGTTAAGACAAATTGCAAAATACACGAAAAATTTAGTAACAATAGAAATATGCGCTAATTTATTAAGGTCGAGTTATATTTAATAAGATTATTTCTACAGCCCTAAATGCATCTTAAATAAATACACAAAAAAGTAACTTTTATTTTCGGTTCATTTTGAAACGTTCCACGAGATATTAGCATGTACTCTGACAATTAATATTTGATAGTCGCCTATAATTAAATATGCAAGTTGCTGTCAACATAGGTGAATATCAAGCACCATGTATGATAGTCGTTATGAGACAAGTCAGTGAAAATTGTCGATTTATTCGGTTTTAATTGGTTCTAACGATAACGTAAATTGTAATGTGATTGGTTAAAATGGAAAAGTTGACATGCGAAGAAAATAATCTTTACTGAAATAGGCTTTTACAATATACAGCATCAGACTATCGAACGCTTTCCAATACTCTTTTTGCTAATGTTTAAGTGAAAACTACAGTTGTCATTAGCGTGAGCAGGAAATGAATAATATCAACGTATCCAGCAGGACACGTAGAAATATTTCTCACTATGTGCTTATTCACAGCGCAAACGGCAAGGTTCTCTGTAGTTTTCCCTTTAACATTAGCAAAGCGTATTGGAAAGTATTCAATAGCCGAAACATTTTTTGTAATAGCAGCAAGTGTCAAAATGATCTACTTTATGTTATAAGTTGCATAATGTTGAACATTATGAAACTGGTTTCGAAAAATTCATTGTCACCCAGTAACGAAAAAAAAAAACAAAAATAAAACATTTTTTGGTTTTAAAATCAATAATATACATTATTATTGAAAGTTCATATCAAACAATTTGGTTAAACTTACAACCTAGTAATAATGTTGTTTTGTTACTTATTTTCCATTCTAAATTAGCACAAAATAACTTTAACAAACAGTAAGTCGTTGAGAATAAATTAATATGATTTTCTATTTGTTAATAAAAGAATGAAATTAATCATATGCAACTAACAATACAAGAAAGTAGTAATATTGGTTGCCTAGATGTCAGTAATTTTGTACCAAAACACAATTTTATAAATAATTAATCAAAATTGGAAAAAAATATCTATAACACGTTACGAAATACCATTTTATGTAACTCGTTGCATAAAATAAAGCATTTCGTAACAAGTCTTATAAATAGCTATTAAATATAAGTACAATGAGGTCAATATACAAAATGTATTGTTGTGTGCATCAATGCTTGGAGAAAACGCGCATATACAGATATATTAAGTGAATTCAGTGATAAACATACTGTGATATCACTGAATTCACTTTTCCAGCAAAGAACTATATAACTTGCATTTAAAATTGCCTGTCCTTCAATCACAGTCTTAAAATTTTGAGTTCCATCACTTCATAAGTTATATTAAGCAGCTTTTTTAGATTTAACCTTATTTTAGACATGAAAAAATAGAATAAGTATTAATATTGTATTAAGGGCCAATCTTTTCACCTCTGAGTAAAGTTACATGTAGGTTTACTTGACAAATTAACAAATAAGCCCTATAGTTTAATCAACAAGTAGTTACTTTTGCTTTAATCAAAGATGAAAAAACTAGCCCTAAAAATTATCAAAAACATCTTAAATTAACATGAATGAATGTATCTCAAAAAATATATACATGTAGACCACGATTGAAGCTATTAACTGGGGCACGTTAATTAGTTGATGGCATAAGAGCATCTACATTTTTAATATATATTTTAAATGCGAAAGTTAGGTGGAAATAGAAAAAGATTATAGAGGGTATCCAATAAAATATAATCTAATTAAAATACAAATATAGTCTTAATTTTAATTTTAACCTAAAAACTATTGAAATAAAAGTGTCCCAAACACTTAGACAGTTATTATTCAATAAATGTAATATTTTTTCTCTAATAAGCATAATTTAAAACAAAATACTGTTTAGTTAAGAAGCACATATAAACAAATGGAAACATCTAAAGATATGTTTTTGAGTAAGTAGTTCCAATGTCAAATACAGACGGCGCTACAATCTTAATTTCAGGCCCCAATAACATTATTACCTTTTACATTCAATGAAACTTACCGGTTAATATTGTAGTTGCTTTTAAAAGCTGGCGTTTTAAATGCGAGCTTGATCGGGGGGTTGATGACGCTCGTCGGCGCGATGTTGCCGGCTCTGCTTTCGCCGCTGCCACTGCCGGCAGCCCTGGAATCAAATTTAACAGCAGAGGGAAGAGATACTGGCTCTACGTCGGCCCTACTCGGAGGTAAAGTAAAAGCCGGCGTGGCGCTTGTTATCACATTTATGGCATTTGGATTGTCTATGGGTTTAATATCTTTTTGAGCGGTACTTTTATGTTCCGGCAAAATTTTAATAGTTGCGGTAGAATTGATTGAAGCTGGTGGTATGTTTGATGCGGTAGGTATAATATTCTTTATAACTTCTCCCTTTTTACCAGGATGAGTATTTTTTATGTGCCGTCTGAGATTATCTTGTCGACGGAACGTTGTTGAGCAAATACTGCATGTGTATTGTTTGGTCTCTGATATAACAAAAAAATATTTTTGGCGTCCCTTAAGATTAACTATGTATTTCGATATATTATGGACCATTACAGTCAGGTGACAAAGTAACAACCAAATATAAATACAATCTCAAAAAGTTTGCATCATATGCAAAATGTTTTTTTCCGACAATTTCACACTCACATTTTTAGAAACTTTCGCGCTTCTTTATTGTTTTTTTTTTTTCTGAATATTTTGTATCCAAAGTGAGTTTGGCGAGATGTCACTGTGTTTGTTTTGTGACATTCCTTTAGACAATGAAAATGGAACACTGGTTTCGAATATTAAAAATGGTCAGTATAAAAAGAAAAGGTTTATAGACATCGAGACTATTAACTTGCTGTCTTAGCAATAAATGTGCACAATATATCTTTTAGTTCACAGGTATTAACACCCCTTATATAACACGGACTTCAAAGGCCCCAGAATAGAAAAGACGTGGTTCATTTGTCGAGGCAATCAACATAGCGATTAAAAAATATATACAATTATTAATTATATTGAAAACAGTGATGACAAATGCTAGTTTTACACGGACAAACTAATGGAGCAGATTACAGGACGTTATAAACCTAAAGTGAAAACGATGAAAGCTTTCCTCATTGAAAAATATGCAACCATAACAAAAAGTGGTTTGCTTCTAACAATAATACCGCTCGATTCAATGCATGCTATCATCAAAACTGTTTTTCGCAAGAAAACGTATAATTCTCAAGTCCAGCCTATTGTGTAATTCATAAGTTGCATTTTTATCACTGTTGCTAGGTACACGCTAAAGTGAACACAAATCAAAAAAATATATACAGGCGAAACGTCATATTGCTGTGGTGGGAGGTGTTTGTGTGAATGCGTCTTGTTTGTTTTCATTTACGCCGTGACTAGCAGTAGTATTGTATAAACCTTAGAAGCAAATTTAACATACATGAACAAATAGTAATAATGCCGTGACAACAAGAAAACGAAGCAACGACTTCTTGTAGGGTGGCGGCGCCACCAGAAAATTTTAATCCATACCTAGCTACGCCGACCGGCATGAACACCAACGGCATGAACATCAACGGCCTGCACACAGCTCACCTACTCTGTCAAGACGTTTCGCGTGTATATAACTTTTTGAATTGCGTAAAAGTTAGCGTGTACCTAGACACTTTGCATTTTTATCTAAATTTTCATATTTAATATCATAATAAGATATGGTTAACTTTTGCGCTATTTGATACTTTTCGTGTTACATTGACATACAGTGCCGAAATTCCAGTTTTTGATTTTAACATCATCCATTTTCGCGATGCTCTGGCGGATTAACCGTTGGTAAAAAAAACTTAAAACATGAAATGTAGGAAATTGTATTCTCTTAAGGTGAGTACAGCACCCCCTTATAATTTTCGGACAAGCATATCTCAAAAAGTCATTTTTTTTTTAAGTTAATATTTTGGCCAAATAAATTAGGCAATAGTATCTAGAATATGCTTATAATTTAAAGTTTTAATTATTTTCAGTTTTTAAGGAAAAAAATCAAAGGGTTTTAAATTTTGAAATATCATAATTAAAATAAATGCGTTCCTCAATAGCAGTATTCTTAATATAATCCCCAAATTTAAGCTCTTAATCTCTTGTTAATGATTTTTTAAAATTCGCCGAAATTAGTGGCTAAAACGCCTCGTTAAGTGCTATTTTTTGGTTTAAACTGGTGTAAATCATTGCAAGAAACGAATGATGACTCAGAGTGTACGATACGAAAGTTACAGTCGCGTTACACCAGAAAGCAGCACACGTTTTAGCCATTAATTTCGGCGAATTTTAAAAAATCATTAATAAGAGATTAAGAGCTTAAATTTGGGGATTATATTAAGATTACTGCTATTGAGGAATGCATTTATTTTCATTATATTTCAAAATTTAAAGCCCTTTGATTTTTTTTCTTAGAAACTAAAAATAATTAAAACTTTAAAATATAAGCATGTTCTAGATATTATTGCCTTATTTATTTTGCCAAAATTTTAACTTTTAAAAAAAATTACTTTTTGAGATATGCTTGTCCGAAAATTATAAGGGGGTGCTGTACTCACCTTAAGTCTTATACAAGGTGATTCATAACTATTGGAATATAGGTCAAGGGCATGTTATTTGGACCAAAATATGGAGATACAACCAAATATACCTTAATAAAATATTGCTGTGGAATAAGATACAGAGCGTTAAAGTTGAATTTTTTGTTCCGTTTTTTTCTGATAATGTCACTGTATATTTATGAATTGTTATTAAAATCGGCATGGCATACTATTTTATGTATTATTTCACATTTTGTTACGGCCCAGACAGCACACCAAATTCTTTGGATATCTACTGGACATCCCAATATCCACTGAATGTCCAGCCCATGGTGGATATCTATTTTATATCCATGAGATGTAATTTAAATAGACATGCAAATGTCCATAAATAATAGTAATTATATAACAAATTATTAAAACAATACGCCATTGTGGCTAATAGTACCGTTTAGATATTTAAAATTATTTTTTTTAAGGTGTATTCAATATCCCATGGATATCCGCTAAATATATCAAAGACTAGGCACGAACGCAAACCATGGTGGATATCCACTAGATGTAATTTATGGATATAATGTACCTAAATATTGGAAAATATGTGAAGTGATTTAATAATTATTAAATTACTTAAATATTACGCCATGTGATAACTAAGAAAGTATTTAGGTATGGTTCATAGAAATTTAAAATTAGTAAGTTCTATTCAATATCCCACAGATATCCGCTAGATAAATAATAATGGCAATGAACGCGAGCGCAGGCGCGGATATTTTCTGCCCTCACAGGTGCCATCGGCCATTTTTTAGTTTGTTTTCGTTTTGTTTGTGTCGTGTGCATGAGTTTCATTTGATAATTTTGGATTAAAAGGTAGTAAGTAAGTAAGTAAGTTTTAAAACCTAAATTTATTAGTGTAAAAGGTTGATAGACTTTAGTTAAATAATACAATGGTTAAATTCACGTTATTAAGATTGTTAAGTAGGTTGTATGCAATGTACGTTAAAATGCGTGTCCTTTTTAGGTAATTCACAACTAGAAATTCATGTTATTTTACCTACTTATTTCGTGTGATTATTATTGTTGGTGATTCGGTTTCGTTTTTATTGTTTAATGGTTGTTAGAATTAATTAGAAAGAGATATGTTTTTCACTGGTTTCACATCTGCCTTGTATTCAATAGCATGCATGAAGAATTTAACAAGTATAAAGTTAGGTTATGTTTAGCTGGACCAACAGTTCAGATAAATAAGTATACTTAGTGGACACAGATCCAGCCTTTTTAAATTATTGTATAAGTGACACTCTGCACAAAAGGCTTTTTTTCAGACTTCATTTTCGTTTTGGGTATAGCTTGATTTAATATAGTTTCATTTTTTGAGGAATTCTACAACAGAGCATCTTTTTTTTTCAGGAAGAAAATTCTAGAAAATTGCGGCGCTAATATATAATGTGTGATTAGGTTTAGGTTTTTCTTGGCTGCGGGTACTAAGTTGATTCGTCAGCTTAAATGTAATATGTTATTTAAATATAATATGTATGTTTGTACTGTAGTTTACTTTTTTTTTAAATATATTTAGCCTGCTCATAATATTTGTCTTTGTTTTACCTAACTATACTAAATATAACAACAATAAAGAATAAGATTTATTTGTAAGATGCTTATATGTTAAATAATTAGTGCGTTGTATTAGGTTTAAAACTTACTTCACCTATTCAATGACATTTTGGTGTTTTTTTTTTAGGTAAGGTGTACAATATTTAATTGTAAAAATAAAATGTTGATACTCTTTCTACTCTACATGCTGTGTAGCGTCAAAAATAGTTAACACTAGAATAGTTAACCTTGTATGGGTGTATATACCAAATTAAAAATACAGGGAGTTCCGATGTTATGCTACTAAAATTCTGATTTTCTTCATATGGAATGTTTTTAGATTGTGCAAAAAAAGTAAATGAAGCATTAAATACGACACCCTAGAGGCATATAATTTTCGATATCTTAAATATATCGTCGATCTAAAGCACACATATTGTAACTCCAAATTTAATGTTATGACGATCTTGGTACCAATTAAATCGCATTTAGCCTTCTTTATTGGGCACAAACATTGTAGCTCCAACACCCACCAAACTACAATAAATTTAAAACTGAATATTACTTTCTAGTGCACATTTGTTGTAAGCACCATATAATATTTGTGCCCGTCAGAAATTAGTAAACATAAAAAACTATATTTACTTCCAGAATTGGCTATACTGATTGAGATGTCAAGAAGAACACCCAGAGCTTATATAATGTTATGTTGGGAATGGGGTGTTAATACACTGCGACCTAAAAGATCTATTGTGTCCCCTTCTGTCGCTTATGCACCAAGGAAATGTCTCAATGCCTATAATGACCCTTCCAATCCTATTTTCTCACGTAAGTATAGGATTTGGGGTGGCTTCAAGTTAGGTAAATCTCCCTCTTCTATTTGATATCCTCCTAGATATAGTGCCCTTGGATTCTGGAGTGCTACACATTCAGTAATATGTTTGGATATCCATACAATTTGTATGACGACTGTGTTCTATTGGATGTGTTGCCTTTTATTTTGAAACTGTTCATTGTATTATTAGTTTACATAAGATCAGCTTATAAGTACCCACATGGTTGGCCCTATCTCCATATTTTGGTCCAAATAACCTGTCCTTAGCCTATGTTCCAATAGTTATGAATCACCCTCTATAGGGTCACCTTCCACGTAAAATGCGTCGTTTTGGACTTTTTTCGAGACGACTTTTTTTGGTACATAGTATTTTTTAAATGTATTAAGTTAACATCTTTTTGAAGCATCAATTTTTAATCAAGACTATTTTTTGAAAAATTAATGATAAAAAACTTTTCCATATGGCACCAACTTTTTGAGAGACACTGTAGATATATGTTGGAAATATTAGGAAAGATACTTTAATTTTAAACTCTTAAATAATAAGAACAAGAAGGTTAACCATTGCACAAATGTTTTTTTATTTGTTAAATTTTTTCACAGATACGTTAAAATGAATTTTCAAACCTTACTGAAATGGTCCAGTGAGAATGTGATGTACATGAAATCAGTTGCCTCCCTTATGTGATATAAAATGAAAATTATAGTAAAATTTTTAAATGAATAAATAAATATTTATTAACAAATGAGTACCACACCAAATAATATTAAGGAATCCAAATACAATTTAGCTAAAAATTAAAATGCTACTTACCAACATGTATGAGACTGTGTCGACGTAGATCTTTACTGTAATTAAAACTTTTAAAGCAAGTAATGCATTCAAAAGTTTTTCCTCTAAGATGAGAACTTTTATGAACAGTCAATGCCCACTTTTGTTTATATCTTTTACCACATAGATCACACATATGGGTTTTTTCTTCTAAAAAAAAATTTAATATAACCAGCCATCGAGAAAAATCATAATTTAAAGTTAAATATATTGGGTTAGTAGTTTAGCCACTTCCACAGGATGACATGTCAAATTTGTCAAAAATTTTATTAAGAAAATAAAATTTTAAAAAATGGTATACGATAGCAGCAGGGATTTATCGTTACGCATAGTATCCTAATGCGTAGGGACCCGAACATCAGGGACTCCGCAGGGGCTCCTGTTATTATTTTTATCATTAAAAAATATTTTATCCTCTTATTAAAAATTCGAGAGACGCTAAAATGGTGGTTCCCACCTTATCGAGACTGAGGCCCACAAGGCTGAACTCGCGTAACAAAATCGAGAAATTATTTAACTTGGAACGAAAGACCGAAAGCCGATAGCAGTATTAGGACGTTGAATTTTTTGGTTTGTGAAGCATTGGCATTAATTAGGTTAAACCATGTGATGATTTCCATAAGCCTTGATTTTTAAAACCATTCTATATCGCCTTTTGATTAGGGTTTACAAACTTGTTTGAGCAATTTATCCAATAATAATTGGCCACTTTACCTCTTAAGCCTGCTCATGTAAAATATTTGGGCTCCTTACTTCGCCTGTTTATATAATATTAATAAAGGACAGAAGGATGAGTATTGCAACTATGTTAAAAGAAATAAATTGGCTTTTAGTTCAGAATTATGTTCAGTACTTGACTGATATTTATTTATAAAATAAAAATGACATAGTACCATCGCATCAGATCTATTAGAATTCAATATAATTCGAAATATTACAATTAAAATACAAGAAGCCAATCTGACTTTCATGTATGACAAGCCATCACTAAAAGTTCCCAAAATACAATTTTTATTAAAGGTTTAAAAAATGTAATAGACTGCCTACAGAAATTAAAAAAAAAAAAAACAATAAATGTATTCAAAAGTAACCTCAAACAATACTTGATAAATAAACAGAACGGATATACTTTCTTGTGATAATACTCTTTAAACCTGCCCTTTTTAAGTATTTCCCTTAATTTATTGTTATTTTACCCCTCGTTTTACCCGCATTTATTATAAATTATTTCTATTTTGAAATCATGTACTTTATTTTAAAAAATTACTTGATGTTATAATAATACTACTTACTATGTTTAAATTATTAATAGTTTTGCGACGATAGGTTATAGCAACTTATAGCCACAAAACTATTTTTGTGTTGAAGTAGATCCATAGAGAGCAATGTAATTTACAGAGGCATTCTTTCAACATACAAATAAATGACAACTTCATAATTAAAATAAAAAAAAAAACATATTACCTCGGTACCAAGGTAAGAAGATTCATTTTTAAATTTTATTTATTGAGGAAATTTATGACTAGAAGTTTACTAATTATTGTTTACAATTCACTGGTTGAATATGTAATCCAAAATCGTATAATAAAATTTTTCTACAAAAAAAAACAACAGAATTATATCCTACCTTTGTATAAGAACATTATATTATCTATCTTGCTGTACCTTTATGAAAAGCCTGAATTGAGATATACTACAAATTATTTGCAATAAATATCAAAAGAAGTATACATTTTTAAATAAGTTGGCATTTAAGATCCATTCGCACATTACAGTTGACATCTTGATACTTGACAGGCACAGCCAAGCATTATTCTGATTTTTGCCAAATAAAATGGCCGGTTAATTATTCTATGGGGTTGCGACAGAGAGCCAATAAATTTGATGATGGTGTTTTTGTGGCTAGGGGCGAAATAGTAGTACGCTTAAGTTAGCACCACCATAAAAAAAGTAATTTTTAAGAAATATCTTATATATTTTTCATAAATTGGCAGACTTGGCTACTAATTTCGAATAAAAATAGCCTCCAAAATGGCTATGATTGCAAGTATGAAGGTTGCAACCCGCCTTAGAAATTTCACCTTCACTATCAACAGCTGTTGTTTGACAGGTCGTTATAGAATGTTTGCAATTTATGGAATTTTAAGAATGTTAGGAATGTTGACTTAGAAATAATTGAAATTCCTAAAATTGTAACATAAGAAAATTTTTTCGTCTGCATGAATGCAATACTGAGGCACCATAGGAAGGGCATCAGTAAAAGTGGTTTATAAAAATTACAAATACCTAGTTTGGATTCACAAGAAAGATACCTATCATTTACTGGATTCTTGAGAAAATTTTATACAAGATATTAGAAACAGAAGACTATGCTGAATAAACAAATTGAAATACCATTATATTTATTAAATAGTTAAATTTAGAGTTAAAATAGGTACTCAATTAACTGTTGGTTTTCTTGTTAGGCGACTTAGATCATCGAAGTACTGTCTATTGAGATATAAATAATTAAATTTAAATATCTATCTGATATAGAGAATCTCTTAAAAGATGATATTAATGCGGAGAATTTAAAACAAAAAATCGAATATTATAACGAAGATCTCCAATCCTGAAAAGAACACGACTTGTTCAGAAATGTTTAACATTATATGTAAACGAATGTTAGATGTATTTTTACACGGCTCGTCCTGTAACCAGCAGAGCGGTAATTTTCCAAATTGACAATAAAAAAAAAATTACTTCAATGTTCCAATCATTTTTCAATTGATACAATAAAATTATTATATTGTTCATTAATGAGATCTTATGTTGAATATAACAATTGCAGCTTATGGAATCCCTATTGTCAAAGGGACATACATTTTAAAAATATGTTGCATATAAAGATTGGGTTTCTTGCAGGAAGTAACAATTTATGACGTTTTGTAGAGGCTTGATTTGAATTTTCTTAAGGATGCCACAGCACTTCCAGTTTTTTATAACATGATTTGAATTTTAGTTAATCATTTCCTACGTAGATGTAGCTACTCTTTAACCTCCATATTTTGTCCATTATATCGCAAAAGTCGTTCAGCAAAGTAATATACATATAAAAGCCTTCATAGGCAGACCATGCCCCCAAAAGAACTGGAGAACTACTCTCAATGAATAGGAACCAGTTGAAAGTGATAACAGGGTTCATGACTGGGCACGCCCCAGTAAAGGGACACTTGAACAAAATTGGCATATACAGTGGGGAACTCATGTGCCGACTATGTCACAAGAAACCAGAAACGACCAAACACATACTGTGCGAATGCGAAGCTCAAGATCGCAAAAGACAGGCTCTTTTTGGGCAACCCCAGGTAGATCCAACAACGTATAGAACCCGGTCACCCAAGGATCTGTACAAACTTGTACAAGGTACAAAGGTGACAGAGTGGGTGCTATAAACTAACATGGGGTAGAACACAATAAGCCAATAGGCTTCAGTGTTATTCGGAGATACATAGTCAGACAAGCCCAGAAGAAAAAAAATATACACAACCATACTTTTATTTTATGTACTCAGTTAAGTTGGTCTGGTGGAAAAGATTTGTCAACACCACGTATTTGTAGGTTTTTCTCGTTTATGGGGAATTAAATATTTAGCTATCTAATTAGGGTCGCAGGTATCTACTTGGGATAAATACTTATCGATTACATTAAAAAATATGTCCAAGATGAATTCTTTTTAATCTATTACCTCCATTACAGGAAAATATATAGGGCTGTTATTAAAAAAGCTAAGGACATATACTATTATTCTAGAATTGAAAAATCTAATAATAAAGTTAAAGAAACTTGGAATATTATTAATGAATTGAAAAATAAACAAAATTCCAAATCCGTTAAGAACTACATCGATTCAGAAACATTTAATCAGTATTATTGCTCAATTGCTGAAAATCTGACTAATAATTTCAGATCGTCAGTTGATCCTGTAGATTATTTAAAAAATACCCATGTTAACTCCAACTTTACTCTAAGTTTTACAACATGTTTTGAAATAATGGAAATATGTTCAGATATTAAAAACAAAAATGCTGCTGGTTATGATGATATTTCTATTAGAGTTATCCTAAACCTTCCTGAATCAGCAATGTTAGTCCTTGCTAGTCTGATCAACCAAAGTTTCGTCGAATCAAATTTTCCTTCATTTCTTAAGACCAGTGCTATTGTTCCCATACATAAAGGCGGCAGTAACTACGATCCTTCGAACTTCAGGCCTATATCTCTCATTCCTACAGTGGCCGAAATTATTGAAAAAGTTGTAAAAAACCGTTTGATTCATTGGGTGCTATGATTGAACGTTTACGTTATCCGTAACGTATATGTTAGGCCGAGTTTTAACAGCAAAGAGACAAATTCGTATGATGTAAAGCCTTTCATAACACATTACTGTTATTTTCCGCCTGTTATGTTCTAATTTAACAGGTTTCCATCATACAAATTTGCTTCGTTACTGTTAAAATTCGACCTAACATGTACGTTATGGATAACATAAACGTTCAATCATAGGACCCATAGGGTCCTATGATTGAACGTTTATGTTATCCATAACGTATATGTTAGGTCGAATTTTAACAGTAACGAAGCAAGTTTGTATGATGGAAAACTGTTAAATTAGAACATAACAGGCGGAAAATAACAGTAATGTGTTGGAAACCGTTTTTCATCATACGAACTTGCCTAATTACTGTTAAAACTGAGCCTAACATGTACGTTACGGATAACGTAAACGTTCAATCATAGGACCCATTATCTAGAAACTCACAAATTGCTGGAAACACAACAGTTTGGTTTTCAAAGGAACAAAAGTACTTCTGATGCGATATTTTCTTATCTTGAACATGCTTATTCTAGAATTAATGTTGACGATTCTGTAGCGGCGATATTCTGTGATTTAACTAATGCGTTCGATTGCGTCAATCATACAGTACTGTTGGATAAACTTCGAGTTTACGGGATCAAAAACGGAGCGCTGAGTTGGGTAAAATCTTATCTTTCAGAACGTAAGCAAATGGTAAGAGCGTCTCAGGATTCTCAAGTTTTAGATATTAGTTGGGGTGTCCCTCAGGGTTCTGTGTTAGGTCCCATTTTGTCTCCTTTATGTGAATGACTTAGCTCAACTTGAAATTGCAGGTACTTTCACTCTATTTGCAGATGATACTATGATTTTATGGCACAGCAATGACACTTCTGTCCTATACAACACCATATCCTGTGACATTAAGAAAATCAAAGCATGATGCGATGCCAACTATTTGCGTCTTAATATGGGAAAAACTAAAATGCTAACCCTTAAATGTTCCCTACCAAATATTCAGTTGGGAAGTCATATTATTGAATGTACTGACAATAAAATTTCTGGGAATTAATTTAGATAATAATTTGAAATTTAGAAACCATATAGAATTGCTAAACAGAAAACTTTCTTCTGGATGTTTTGCAGGCAGAACGGTGGCAAAAGAACTAGGTTTTAAGGCAGCAAAAAGTGTGTATTACGCCCTAGTTGAGTCCCATTTGAGATATGGAATTGCATATTGGGAAGGTTGCAGCCGCGAATTATTCAATACTGTTTTTTGTCTGCAAAAGAGAGCAATACGATTTTTATGTGGAATGAACAAGCTTGAGTCATGTCAGCCACATTTTATTAGACATGAAATTTTAACATTAACATCGTTGTTCATTCTTGAAACCACTTGTATTATACATAAAAATAAATCTATGCCAATACTAACGCTCGGCTAACGCGACAAGTTGACAACCTGCGGTTGCCCATACCCAAATCTGAACTGGTAAGGGGCTCTTTAATTTATAATGGGATTAAAATGTACAATAAGTTGCCAAATGATACTAAATCGACGGAAACGGTCACAACATTTAAAATACTGCTTAGAGATATGTTGATGACAAAAGCATATTATGCTTTGACAGAATTTTACAATGACTCTTAAATCGTTGTGACTGTTTGAACGTACATGTTTTTGTATTTCTGTATTTATATAATTTTATCGATGTTGTGTTACGTATTTGTATTTGTAATTAACCTCTAATTTTATATTTAACGTTTTTATACAATTTTTAAATTTTTATGCATGTAATTGTTAGTACTGCATAATAATTATATTTATAAGTGTTTGTCTATAAGTTCTTGTAGCTTTGACAATAAACATATATTGATTGATTGATTAAGAACCTATTAGTGGCACTGACCCCGCATAATATATTATAAATAGGCAGATATATTTACCCCAATTTCCAAATAATAGTTCAAATAATAAATTTTTGGTTTCGGCTATGAATTTGTGAAATAAAATTATTGATATGCCTAACAAATGCGCTTAAATTACTTTTCTTTATTCCCCCAAATTTTATCGACAGCTTTTTTTTTTTTGTAAAAGTTCTGCATGGTCCAAAACTTAAAATGCAACTATCAGATATCAATGTTTTTTAAGCTGTATACGAATTTTGTCAAAAAATATGAATTTTACTCAAGAGTAAAGTATCTTTATTTTTTACAATACAGAAGAATGTTATAAAGTTATTTTGAATTAAAAGTTATATTTAAGTATCCAATTAGCTCTCTGCTTTCTTCACAAATAACTGAATTTGCTGTCCTGATTTGTTGAGAATAGTGAATTTAAACACAAACAGAAGGACCTATATATCTGAATTATTTTATATTACCACTCTACCGACTATGCACAATATGAAACTCTTACAAAAATACGTTGAGAATAAACACAATGCTAACATAGAAATACATATTTAATATATTTAAGCACAAAATTAGAAACTTACGTGTATTATTTTCTTTTTTAATTTAAGCTTTTAGTATACTTTTGTTGTTTTATTTATTAATTATTGAACGTTTTAACATTCTCATGCATATTATATCCTCTTTTTTTGTAAAATGGTATATCTGTTAAATAAATATAGAACTGTGAAAGAATTCAGAAATAAAGTCCAGAACACGGGGACAACAAACCAACGAAAAATTGGAAAATTGTTTTAAAAAAATCCGCTCTGAGCAGTTGACTAACCTCTATAATTAATTAAATTGTTTCTATTTTTTTGTTGCTGAATCATTTTGAGTTAATAAACTCTGTTCACAATGAAAATATCAAGTAATAAATGTCATTTTGTGGAAGTGCCTAAAATACCAACACAAAAGATTTAAATTTCATTATTTCATACTTACTTTTATGAACAATTCCATGTTTATTCAAGTTACTCTGATTACTGAACTTGGCATTACAAATTTTACATGCGTATGGCTTTTCGCTTTTATGTATGATAGTGTGTATTTTCAAACTCTCCTTGCTTCTATAAGCATTACCACAAATTGAACAGATGTGAGTCTTGACAGTTGTGTGTACTGCAGAATGTCTAGTGAGTTTGCTTCTATCGCTAAATGATTTTTTGCAAATATGACAAACGTAAGGTTTAGAGGATTTGTGTTTATAGGAATGGACATCAAGTTGCGCTCTTAGAATAAATTCTTTTCCACATACCTCACATTTATAAGGTTTTGAAGCTGAAAAAAAAATATAGGTCTAACATCTAAAAATTGTAATCTAAAACTTAGAAAATGTATCTATATTCAGGTTTTTATTTTAATTGATCATGGGGTGGCTGTGAAATTCAATATATATTTTATACCTTTACAATGCTCTATGCATTAAAACATCATGCTCAATGTTATAATAATCTTTACTAACTCCAATCTCAGGGATTAAATAAAAATTAATGATCAGTACAATTTCAAAATATAGTAAATTGTATATTTTATATGGTTGTGTCCACAATTGTTAGTTTTTTATTTATTTATTACATTGCTCTACAGGCAATCCCAATTACAGAGCAGGACTAAAAGAATATAAACATTATGTAAACTAAGTGGAACAAAACACAAAAATTTGTAATCATCTAGTAGGTAAAATACAATTCTATTTTTTTTTTTTTTTTGATTTTAAGTTAGAAAATGACATTTTATTTCCCTAAGTTTGCATGAGAAGATGTCAATGTCACTACTCACACTATTCACAAGCGCGGCTAATAGTATGAAATTTTTCAGAATATTTGTGAGAGGTACAGATATGTGAAATATGTAAGAATTTCTAGAGGATGCTCTCGGAATGCAGATATGAATTTTTTTCAACAATTCAGGAGAATGAATTAAACCGTTAACAATTTTGAAACCTAACATATAACAATGGTATTCATGTCTTTTATGAGGCTTATAAAGTGATATATTTGCAGAAGATTTGGGTGTGGTACTCCAATTGGCGGATAAACACCATCCTCCTTTAAACACAGTATTTTAGAAACCGTCTTTGAACTGCTTCAATTCCATCAGTGTGAAGTTGTTAAAAGGGACTCCAGATGACAGAAGCATATTTAAGCTAAGATACATACAATACAATGTTTCAATCATTTTATCAATGTGATATGTAAAGGCCAATCCGGGATCAAAGATTACCCCAAAATCTGTAAAAGTATGAGGTCGCTAAAGTGATACATTATCTATTAAATAATTATATTTTATTTGGTTGGTTTTTAAAGTAAAAGACATTTAATTGGGTTAAGTTCAAGTTTATTATTATTACATCATTCAACCACTAGATTTAAGTTCATGTGAAGTTGTTCAGTCACCAATACTTGTCACACACTTGTATAACTTCAAATCATCTGGGTACAGTAGAAACTGCTCTTTAATTACATTGGAGATATCATTGATGAAAATATTAAATAGTAATAGGCCCAGATTGGAACCTTGAGGAACTCCAGATGTTGTAGCAAATTTGACAGACTTAAACCGATTAAGCCATACAAACTGAGTAAGATTTACTAAATAGCACTGAAAGAGATTTATCAAAGGGGGCACAATCCAAACCCTGTAGGTTTTACAAGAAGAATACCATGGTCAAGTCTGTCAAATACCTTGGAGAAATCTGTGTAGATGACATCCTTATGGGCGAGCTCATCATTGGTGACTGTTCATAAACCCATGTTGATTAACTGATAGCATTTTACAAATAATAAAATTTCAAATATTTTGGAGAAATTGCATATTATAGATATTGATCTGTAATTAGTTATCTCTTTTATCCCCTTTTTGAAAACTGGACATACTTTTGAGGTCTTTTAAATATCTGGAACTGTTGATGTCCTGAGGCATATATTTATAACGGAGGGGCAAGTTCGAATGCACAATCCTTTAAAATAAAAGCTGGAATATGGTCTGGACCAGGTGTCTTTTTTAGGTTTAATAGACTTGAAAAGTTTTACATACCTCTTTTTCAGTAAAACTATTGACATTAAGGAATGGAATATTTAATCGTGAATTTGAATGAGCAATAAACAGGATAGAGGTAAAATATGACTGTTTGGAGAAGTCAGCAAATCCACTGAGAATATCTAATGGAGTTTTTAGTGAATTGTTGTGATAAGACATTATTTGAGGGAATTTGCATTGTGATTTATTACTATTTATAAATGCCCAAAATTTACTTGGATTACTGGATATCTCTTGTTCAGTCTTTTTAATATATGCTCTGTAAGAAATGTCTATTTCTAATTTTAAAGCAGCTCTTATGCGTTTGAAGTCTTCAAAGGCTTCTAAATCATTTTCTCGTTTGTATATTTTCCACAAATTAGTTTTGACACGTAACTGATTATTTCTCTATTATTCTATGCTGGATATTTGTTTTGATGCTGGCAGGAATATTTGGGACAACATTTATCAAGAATATTGTATAATTTTCCATAAAAGTATGTACAAGCGTCTTCTGCATTATTAAAGGCTTTTAAAAATGTCCAGTCAATACTGGAAATTAAATTATAACAGTTTTCAAAGGACGATTCAAGATTGTTTTTACGGTTAGTTTTTACTTCCAAGTAACAAGTGATGTCCAGAGCAAGATAATGTTTATCTTCCATTACAAATGGATCAAGCAATTTTTCTACTAGACATTTATCATTAAAGAAGTATAGATCTAATAGCCTATTATTATCATTAGAGATAAAGTTAGACTGAGATAAATTAGAAAGTTAAGAGAAGTCATTATTGAAGTTTGTTTGTTACTTATGCTGTTACTAAGATATTCTGCATATTTGCTGATATTAAAATCACCGATAACTAACAAGAAACTGTTATATAATGAATTCAAGGAACACAAAGTTTTAAAAAGGTGTTCAAATTCAATTTTTGTATATCAAGCTAATAAGTGTTGTTGGACACTCAGTTGGACATTAATCCTTGTCCGCCCTGACCTTTTGAACCACAGTTCACCAAATAAATTGTGACTATGACACTGACTTTTATACAAAGAGCACTTATATCATGAAATATGTGTGAAATTAAATCACTAACACTTCCTACTCTAATATAACTTAATAGGTCATTGATTATGTCCTAAAAAGGGACAATAAGGAACTACCATTCACCAGTTTTTATCACATGAATCATTCAAATGGTCATTAAAGATGAAAAAACTGTGGAGTGCTATTAAATTAGAGGGTGGAAATTGGAAATAGAGGTAAAAATGCAACCCTATCTCGAAAACGAAGCAAAATTCAGGTATGGGTATTAGACAGTTTTTTGTAGAGAATGCAATTTCCCATCGAAATCTATTTAATTTATTTACTTAACACTTATACACATTTTTGCCCAACTTGCTATTGGTCCTCTCCCACAACTCGATAGAGGTGAATAGTTTATGTCAAATAGAACCATTCACTCCCTAGGACTTTATGCAATTTCAGGGAAATGACGAATTGTGAAAACTTGTAACCTACAATCAGCAAATTTTCACTGACCCTTGTTTATAAAATGTCTAGTCTGTTGGTTCTTGAAAAGTAACCAAACAATTTAAATTTTTCCAAACTCTTCATTTATGGGTTAGGACCCTTCACAACTACGATGAAGAAATAATAAAAAAGAGAATTTAAAAAAATACATAACAATCCAATTTTCTGTTTTTTTTTTATTTTTGCTTTTTGGTTAGTGAATTGACGTTTGAGTGACTATTTTCAGGTAACCGCGTCCCTAATTTAACGATTTTTCAGGAATGTCAAGCAGAGCAGAACTTAACTTGTGTAAACAGTCGACTTACAACTAAATTACTTTATAGAGTGAAATATGTCAAATGCCATAGCCTCACCCAAGTTAAAATAAAAATCGAAATATATTGTAAAGTTTAGTATAGTTTCAATAGCATAAAAACTTACCACCAGCACAGTATATATGATATTTAACATGTGTTTTTGTAGTAAAAGTTTTGTCACAAATAGTACAATGATAAGTTAAAGGATCTTCCCTTACAGTTACATGTTTTGGAATTATAATGGAACTATAAGATCTCTTGACAGATCTTTGTTTATCAGGCTTTTTTATCTTTGTCACTAAAATATTTTTGTTCTCTACTTTTAGGGAATTTAGAACACTTTCATTAAAATTAGTCCCGGGTGTCTTTTCGATATTTTTCTCAATAGTACGAGGTTTAGGTGTAAGTTTAACTTCACCATTTAGGTTTGAAGTACTAGGTACATTCCCGTTTATTTGTATGACTCCGGTATGATTATTTACCACCACTGCACTATCAATTTCTCCATTTCTATCACATATTACATTATTGTTTAACATAAAAGTATTTTCTATCGACGGTTTTTGTTTATTTATACTATTTACACATTGTTTACAATCGTTTTCATCCTCTAGGAGGCAAACTCTACATTTTTCGTGGCCACAAGAATCTCGAACCAATCGATGGGTCGGTGCAGAAGGTATTTTATTACATTGCAGGCAAATGTTTTCATGCATTTTACACTAATATTATCACTTTGTAATTAGAGCGAATGCAAGCTTTTTGGAAAATAAAATAATTATGACGGCCATGAATATTTTAATGAAGCAAATGGAGATATATTTTTCTTCTTTCATTTTTTATTAAATAATGACAGTGACAGATGTCTTTCAAACCGCGTTCAGTAATTTAATTTCTGGCCTGCAACTAATCAGAAGATGGATACGGACTTGTACCCATGAGAGTATCTAGCCAAGTAGCCAATTTTCCATAGCAACATTTTATTGAAATAACAATTATTGCTATAGTTTTTAAACATCAAAATAATTTGCATTTACTGATTAATACCAACAATCTTTATACTTTATTTAGAAAATGACGACGACTGAAAGAATAGTTCCTTCTCCAAATACCCTTATTAAATATGATAATCCAATATTGGTTTCGAAACACGAACCTAAAGCAGGTCCTTCTGGGGTAAGTTTAATAACAAGGAAGGAAGGAATGTTATATTTTCTTAATCAGTATCCTGTGTTAGGATGAAGGCAAAAAGGCACCATTGACTGCGGATGTTAAAAGGGAAACTGAAGAAATTCTAAATACTATATTGCCTCCTAGAGAATGGGAAGAAGATGGACAAATGTGGCGACAATGCGTCTCTACAAATCCAGCTACAAGACTAGATGTAGTCAATTTACAAGAACAACTTGATATGCGACTTCAACAAAGACAGGTTAAAACACTACTAACAAAAAAATATACTGAAGCTGAGAATAACGCATTTTTAACTTTCAGGCACGAGAAACGGGTATTTGTCCAGTAAGAAGAGAATTATACACTCAATGTTTTGATGAAATTATTAGACAAGTTACCATCAACTGTGCAGAAAGAGGTCTATTACTTTTAAGAGTAAGGGATGAAATGCGTATGACTATTGAGGCCTATCAAGCTTTATACTGTAGTAGTGTTGCATTTGGTAAGAGAACTAATATTTTAAATTTACTGATGTGTAATATTAAAAAAAAACCACTAATCCTTTTAAAATTGATGTAATTGATTATGTTGTTTACTAAAAAAAATTAAAAATAGTCCTGTACTATCCATTAGACAACTATCAGCGATTCAAGCTGAGCGCCCTCTGGAGGATATTTGTAAAAGTTTTCGGAAGTAGGACTTTTTCCAATGTTGCCAACACTAGCGGATGTTTACACTTATCAGCGGAAAGACCTCTTTCACACTCATATTTAAAACCGATTTAATTATATTGATTTTTTTGTCATAGTGTTTGCTGTTTATAGTTTTGTCGAATTTTTTATTATTTGTAAGCATTGAATTTGCTGTTTAACAGGTCGTTGGAATGCCTGATTTATAGGTGATAAATGACAGGCGCGCGAAAATTAATTTAAATCGCGAATTACAATTATCAAAAACATAATGATTTTCATCAAAAGATGGGCACCACATGGTCACTGACCCACGGTTCGTAGACAACGCGGTGACCTCTTCCGTCTGTTGCTAAGGAAGGGTGTGACGCCACGGAATGAAAAATCGAGCCGACAGAAAATATTCAGCTGCGGTTTGTACATTAGTTTTTTTTTAAAAATTAATATTTTATTAATAATTAGTGGTGTTTATATTTTTATTTTTGGACTATATACCTGTGTTGGGAGTTTTCATAAAATCGGCAATTTTGATTTTTTGAAAGACAAGCTACAAAACGGCATGGAAAAATCATGTAATGATTTCCATCAAATTTCAAATGAATTATTTTTTATGAATGGTTTATTTTAAACATTTTGGATTAGGATACGGCTTCCGAGCTGAATTCGGATCACACTTTGTTTATATCCCGAAATATTTTGAAATTTTGGCAAGCCTGGATCGAGTTGTAGTATTGCTGTTGACAATTTTGACTTTTAAAAAAATCGTTATGTTCTTTTTGACAATGCATAATTTTGGACTAAATAAAATTAAAAGGGAGCACAAAAATATTTAGCTTTTAGCTCATACTGGTGTAAGCGAAATTAATTTTTCGAATAAATATGCTCGATAATTCGTCATTAAAAACCGTTTGTTTCATTAATTAATTAATAATTGGATTAGATATTTAATAATAATCGTAAAATTAATATTAATCGAATGTAAAATTAAAAATAATATCGATATATTGATTAATCTAATATTTTAATAATGAAAATAACTGATTATTGAAAATAATCGATCTCTTGATTAATCTAAAATAATAATCGTTTACCCTCTGAATATAATCGATTAATTGAATAATCCATTAATTGAAAATAATCGATTATTTTAAATAAACGAATATTTTTTATGGTAATCACTCAGCCCTATAAATCATCATTTAATAATTTTTTGCATTTATAGACATTTTTGAACGCTGTGGTCGTTTCTAAATAGTTAAATATTTCTAAAAAACTTGATATTTGCGAAAACAACACATATAACATCATATATCAAATAAAATGAAAGAATCGGGTTGGTAAACTTTCAATAACTATCGCCTATTACATTTATTAAGTTCACAAAGATATTCATACAAAAACGAGATTATCTAGTTAGCAAATTAAAGATTTTTTCTAATATTAATGACTACCTATGCGGAATACAAAATAGAATGACCTCGATAGTACCTAATCATAACACGGCTCTTTTTAAAAGATCTTTTTCGTATGTCGCATGTAGAGTACAACAGACTTACAAAAGAAATTAAATCCTACAACTTGCTTAACTAAAAGTTAAGTAATAAATCAGCTCGTTTCATGTTCTTCCATTTATATTTTAACTCGACTATTAAAGACGATTTATTTAACGAAATTAGAATTTCATCGAATTTTTTTAATTGTAAGGTATGAGAAAAGCTCTTCAAGCGGAACAAGGCAAAACAGACTTGTTCAACGAAGTAGAAAATTTGAAGGAAGAAAAACAAGATCTGGAACAACAAATAACTGAACTCAAGCAAAAGGCAGAGCAAGCAGACAGGCGGGCAGCTGAAACTCGCCTGGCTGAAGAAAGAAAGCACACAGAAGAAATTGCCTTTTTGAAGAAAACAAACCAGCAACTGAAGGTGAGTTAAACACACAAGGAGTCGTCCGATTTTTTATTCGCTGATGATAGCCGCAAAATTATATAACGAAATTGGGTTATTTGCAATTTTTCGAATTCTATTGATATCACGTAAAAAATAGGAGTATGGAAAATTAAAAGAAATTTTAAAATACATAATCGTTCAATAATTTCTTAATAGTAACCGTGTTAACGTAAAAATAGCTCCCCACACGCCGGTCACTTGATTTAGACATTCAAAGAGATTTTTTCATCTTTGCACGGCTAAGACTCTGAAACTATTGATCTAATATCTTTTATAAAGAATTTATTTACTTTCAGTTTTGTATACCACCATTTTTACCGTAAAATAGATATTAATCGAGTTATCGCAAAAAACCCTTATTTAAAGTTATAAATGATTGTAACTTGGAACACATTCAAAGTAGTAAACTATTTTTTATTTTCAGTTGCAACTGGAGGGCATCTTAGCGCCTAAGAAGTAAGGTTAGAAATAACAGTCAAGAAAAAAAAATATATATATATATATATAGTCATTTATTAAAAACTTGAAATTTTTTCCAAAGCACTTTGTATAATATGTGTATTATATTGTCCCTATCGCTCGAAAATCTGCGCAGCCCCTCGGATAATAAACAAAACAATAAACTAAATTGATAAAAATACCAAGAAGAAATGGCAGCGCAGAGCCCTTAAAAATATAATAAGCCTTGGAAATGTTTTTATACATCAATAAATTTATCGTAATAAAAATATTTAAGATCTATAAATATTTTGTACAATAAAATAATTTAGAGAAACATACATTAAATAAATTTATTTTAACAATATTAAAATACCCTTCCACCCTGGTGAAACAATTCATAAAAAAAAATGAACAAGTTAAACGCGCAGTTGATATTACCAACATTTACAATAAATCGACGGATATTCAGAGTTGGTTAAAAGTGTCAAACTTGTCTATTCATTAGGTAAAGAAATGATATTTATACAAAAAATAATAATAAAAAAACTAATGTTTTCCTTTCTTCGATCGTTTTCTTCGTCTTCGTTTGTTAGTGGCGGCATCTGTAGATTCCAGACTTCTTTCTTGATCGGTTGTGGGAGTGGGAGGTTCGGAAACAGATTCGTCCTCATCCTCCTCTTCTTTTTCGGTTAAGGATTTAATTTGAAGATCCAATTTAAGATCTTCGGGTTTTGTTAGTTCCAGCGATATGATTTTTTCTTGAATTTGTTCCACCTAATAATTGGGAAAAATCAAATTTTAATTATTGTTATCGATTTAAAGTGTTATTTTTAAGCACACCTGTGATTATTTGTGCTTTACGAACTTATTTGCTTGTTTATGTACATAAATAATAATTGTGCTAATAGTTGTCCATTTTTCCCTGTTATGTCTGGCTATGCTTAAAATTTCTGTGGCATTTTTTAGAATGTAAGATTATAGATAATAATAATAATAATAATACTCTCCCTAATTCACCCCCTTACGAGTGAATTTTAACCCCAAAAGCTGAGCTTGTGCGGGAAAAGGGACGGCTATTATTATTATTATTATTATTATTTGCCGTGGGGTAAAAGAGTACTTTTCAATTTCTTATTCAAAGATGATACATTAAAATCTTGTGACAGTTATGAATCACATTTGGCGCCCAACATCAAAAAGAATATGCTAAATGATCTAAAAAAGGATGACCTACGTACAGTATTTCGCTGTATTGTACAAACTTTCAAAGTCTGTTCAGCATTTGATCTTGTAGAGCAACCTTGCAGCAAAACGCCGTTATTGTCCAGCGAACATTAAACATTTAGAAAAAAAAATGAGAACATTTCAAAATTAAATATTTTAATATTTTCCTACTAGTTACATTCTTATCGAAATACAAATTGCGTTCGTCGATAATTAAGCACATATCTACATTCAGGATTAATGTACTGATCAGCTGACTCCTGACGTGTCGTCTAGCTACATGTTTTATCACTTTTTACTCAGTGGCTTCTTGCCTAAGATAAAAGAAAATGGGGGTTTTGTACTGTTTATATCCCTGTTGTCTACGTTTTTAGAAGTTTATAATTGTTTTATTGGGTAGTTGTTTTATGTTTAAAGAAATAAAAGAGTTCTGTTGTTCTATTTTCCAGTTCCCGACCGTTCGCCTCTACCGCATTTAATCACACTAATCTAGAACAGTAAGTGCAAGAACATTGTATATGACGGTGACACAGTATTCATCTCAAAGATGAAGATCTAACCTCAAAAAAACTTTTAAGTACATTGGAAAAACATACGTATCAAGCTAGCAGAGCAGCTTTGAATTGTTCAAATTTTGATAGTGCCATAATTTTAAGCTAATTTTGTATTAACCTAAAAAAAATTCCGCCCTCATTATAGAAAAAAATTAGGCACTCTGCTGGCTTAACAACAGGCACTTATCGAGTTTTTCAATAAAAAATTGACAATATAAAAAATGATAACGGCTCATTTTAGGCTAATTCTATACCAACATAAAAAAATCCGCTCTTGCCTTCAGCGGAAAAATTAGGTGCTCTGCCTGGCTTGATAATACGAGTTTATAGTTATTCGTTTAAAAAATTGAGGAAACTAAAAAATGAGCACGGCAAAATTGTATGCTCATTTTAGGCTAATTTTATACAACATACAAAATTTTTCGCTCGTCTTTATTTGAAAAATTAGATGCACTTCTAGCTTGACAACATAAGTTTATAGAACTAAAGGCCAGAGTGGAATTTTTTTTAAGTGTTGGTACGGACTTAGCCTAAAATGAGCCTAAAATTGGGCCATGTCTATTTTTTTGTTTCCTCAATTTTATTATCGAAAAACTATGAACTCATATTGCCAAGCTAGCACGGCACCTAATTTTTCCGATAAACCGATAAAGGCCAGAGCGTTTTTTTGTTGTTGCTATAGAATTAGCCTAAATTTATGCCGTGTCCATTTTTAAGTTTTCTCAATTTTTTAACCAAAAATTATAAACTGGTATTGTCAAGCTAGTAAAGCACCTAATTTTTCAGATTAAGGCAAGAGGGAAAATGTTTTCTTGTTGGTTTTAGCCTAAAATGAGCCTAAAATTATGCCGTGATAATTTATTTCATTGCTAAATTTAATGAAAAACGTGCCGGATTTTTTTTTTAGATTGGTATAAAATAAGCCTTAAATTAAAAATAAAAATAGAAAGATCCAGAAAAATAAGGAGTAATGGAATTAGAGATGTAGTGGAGAACAGAGAATACCATGAGACGTAATCAAGCAGTTGGCAGAAGGGTAAAAGATTGAAACAAATTTGAAATCAACTTTGTTGCTAAAATAAACGCTGAAATTAAAGCGTTATACTAAGTTAAAAGAAGGAGAGGGAAAAATAAGAGAAGAGCAAAATGGGAATAGAGGCATGCAATGAAGACCTTTGACTAATGGGAATCGTAAATTGACGTGTATCAATCAGCCTTGAATTGAGAAAAGCAACAGAAAGTACTTTAAATATATACAGAAAGGAAATAGTTTTACTAGAATATTATGGCGTTTTGCATTGTTACTGGCAGTACATATTGAGTATATTTGTGTCTTTATCGATATGGAAAAGAAGAAAGTGAGAATACATTCAGAACGCACTGAACATACCAATGGAAAACGCCATTAGTCTTCCACTACCGAGCATAAATAATAAAGTGCACTTTTTTCTTCTAAGCAGTTTGTTGAAAGTTGTTAGGAATTTGAGGAAGATGGATTACCCGAACTACTGTCACCGCCCTTGTACCCATTTGCCATGTACATTGTCATTTTAGACGTAATGTCTAATTTAAAAATGACCATACCGTATAAAGATAGTCAGACAATGGGACTAACAAAAAAATCATCAAAAATACCGTAGGAGTAACAAAAACAGAAGAGTCAAATACGTTAACAAATCCGCTAGACATTCATGTATATGTAGAGTTAACGGTACCATTAAAAAAATAAAATTTGGCCAAGTGGCAAGTCGTATTTGAGCAATAGTGTTCCATACCATAGTTGTTTTTTTAACATCAGATGAACTAAGAAAAATAGCAAAACCTCACTCAGAACATAAAAAAAACCTAAGAAAAATTTATATATCTCAACTTAACTTGTATTTACTAAAAATCTTAGGGGTATGTCATTATTACTAAGCTAAATGGCTGAATATCCTTCAAAAGTAATATTCAAAAACAAGAATTAATTTTTTAAAGTAATCCAGCGCAAAATGTGTTTTTACTTGAAACTGGCAGTCTTGATAATTTTTATTTAATCTACACCTTTTATTCTCAACGTTTGGAGATAGGTTGACAGGACAGCAATTTTTAAGCAGAGGCAAACGAACGTATTATACTTTTTTGTAATAGTGCTTCAACAGAATGAATGTATGATAAATGGGAAGAAGTAGGGCATCCAAATGGTGGCACAATAGCCCGTTTGCGTCTCAGTGTCGCCCCAAGATGAGGGAAAGCAGATTGGACGACCCTAAGCCTGATTGAGGGGAGCTAGTGGTTGGACCTAAGCCTGATTGGGGGAGTCTGTCGGAATGCCTCGAGGAGAGGGATGGGAGCAGAGGGATGCCTGAAAGGGTGAAAAAACGTGCTTTTAAAAGATTTAATTTGTTGCCTCACATGGTAGCATCAGAAAACTTCCAATTCAACAGCACAAAACTGACCCCAATATAAAAAAAAATATTTTTGTTCAGTTACCGCCTGTATTTGGACCACTTAGTTAATACAACTGTTTCAAATTTCAATTGTATATGTCAAATAGTCTCCGAGTAAAACGCATGTGACAGACACCGAGGTGATTCCGTAAATGTTCCTTTTTGCCAAATTGGGAACGGAACACTAAAAATGGTGGCGCAAGAAAGATTTAGATGAAAGCGATAAATAAAATAAAATTGCCATACTGAAAATCACAAAAGTTTGAGGTCGTATTTTGAAAAAAATATTGGGTAGTGGGGGAAAGAAATGATTAACAAATAAGCACATAGCCAGAGTTCATTAAAAGTAAACCTATGTACATAATATAATATTTAAATCATTCACTTAAAAGCTATAATTAAAAAATAATAAATATATTTACATTTTTAAAATATAACTTTGCTTAAAAAAAATAATAGAACATTAAGTATCACACCAAAAGCATTTTCTCAAAAACATAAAGCCTAATAATGGTTCTCAAAAATTATTTAACTTTTTTCGTTCAGAAAAATAGATTTAAAAAATAAATCCTTATAGTGAAATGATTGGTTAAGACAGAAATGCCAGGCAAAAAGACAAACTTATAATAATATACCTTAACCAATGGCCGAACAGTGACATTATTGTAATAAACCAAAATACCTTTATTACCTGAAAAAGGAAAAAGCAATTCAAAATAGTTAATTATGATATGTGTAACATTGAAATTATTATATATTTCAAAGAACATCCTTTTGTCCAAAAAATTCGTGAGGCACAATAAGGCACTTAACGCGTTAAGAGTATGTTTTTTTTTTGGAAAATGATAATTCCGCCAAAAAAATCCATGATCCAAAACCAGAAATGATTTTCTATAAAAGAATGGGACTAGAATTAAATTATTCTTTCTGAAAGTTAAATTTATCATCAATTGTTTATAATTACAAATAGACGTGCTATTTTTTCAAATGTCGGTATCTATAATTCTATAATTTTAAAGTTATATAGGAGAAGATCGCAGCTTACCATATTAATGACATCTAGACAGACGCGAGAAGATGAAAAAGAAAAGCACTGGATACAGAAGAACGTCCCAAAACTACTCACCCATCAAGGGTTGTAGGAGCTATACAGATAATGAAGTGGAGTAGAGTTGACGACACCCTTCTAACTTTTTATATCTGATATCTGACCATACAGTACGTTAACTTTCCATTCCTGATTCCAGTGGTATAGACACACAATGCTATTTAATAGACAGAAATAGAATACGTCGCCGACTGTGGACTGCAATATCCCAACCTTCCCATAGAAAGGGCGTGGTTAAACCATTTACTTCATTTATCCCTCTCACGTCCAAATATAATTAAGCGACTCATCTTTATTTTACTTTAACGTTTTATTATTGCGCATTTTTTATATTTTCATAAGCCAAATCATCAGTTTAAAAAATAATGCCACTGTTTTACCAATAAAAAACGCAACTCCCATCACACTACAAACTACAAATAAGAGAGATAACGTGTGTTAAAATATAAAAACTAACCAGATGGGTGCACAAAAGAGAAGTAGTCATGCTGATTTTTTTGACAAGCCTTCTTATACCTCTCTCTCGATCAGCTTCTCAACATATTCCACGGTCCTCACCCGTTTCTCCCCCGTTTCGTCGACGTACTCTTCGGTTCTTCTAGTTACCGTTTCTCCCAGGACCTTTTCGCTTTCGCGAACTGTGGTGTTGCCGGGTTTCGTCCTCACGGCTAGTTTGGGGAAATCGGCGCTGGAGGGACGTAACTGAACATGCATTTTTTATGGTTAGCGGTACAGTATTAGTGTTATTATTAGCCTGGACTGGTTGAGCGGGGGAAGTCCAGAAAGTTATTTACTAATCAGGTTAAAAAGATAAAGGTTAGAGTTGATGCGGTGTTGCCGATGTTATTCGTTGTATGTAAAAGCGAACGTAATAAAAATGAAAATGTAAAATTTTAGTTACAAATGCCGATAATAATTTCAATTTGCATTAAATATTCGTTGACGAATTTTTGCTTTATAATAAAAAATGTAGTCTTTTTTTCATATTGGATAGTTAATATTAGCATGAAAAATATTAATATTTTAATGTTTTTTATATGAAAATTATGAATCATCTTGATAATCCAAATTATTAATGTATAATTTAAGCTTATGATCGAATGTATTAGATTTAGAATTAAGCGACATTTTTAAGAAAAAATATTTTCAAGGAATTATTGTATGGTTTTTATTAAAACACGGCAACACACACAATGTTAAATGAAACGAAAAAACAAAACAAACAAAACACATAAATATTGTTAAGATACGCCAAATTAGTAAACAAATATAGATAATACGATGATAAAAGTACTCATGCATATTAATCTACTGATAAAAACAGCAGAAAATGGTATATGACAATCCTACATGCCTGTTAAATTTATGGTAAATAAAAAAAAATCAATTTATTTTGAACTAACATTTTTTCATGTAGTGACAAGAAAACCTTACAACCGTGTGGGAAAAATTAAACTTGTATTATACATTTTTCAACCATTAATTACTTTTACCTGTTGCACCTATTTAATTAATTTTTGTAAAGCACATGGACTGGTACATTATTTCTAATTTCGGTTTGACATTTTTAGACAGGACTGGACTTGCAGGACTTTTTATAAAATGCTGCATTTCCTTGTTGCAAAAGGAATAGGATTTAAGTAACTAAAATTGAGCTAATAGGTTTTTCGGCAGATAAACTATCGGAAATGGAAGATCTGTCAAAGAAAAGCTGCCAATGGGAAGGGCTTGCATATCTAAGGGGATTGCGACATAGTCTTGCATCTTGGACGCTATTTTTATTCCAAATACTAGTTGCCAAGCCTGCCAATTTATAAAAAAATGTATAAGCGTTTTTTTTAAATAATATTTTCATTGTGACACTGACAGTTATTTTGTTTAGAATGCCTAATTAGGCATTTTAACGACCTGTCAAAATTGCTGCCCGTTTGCTTTGACAGGGTCAGTTTAGAAAAAAACAATTTTCAGCCTTTCAATATAGTTTCACACCGAGGTGGGAAGAGTTTCATTCCTGTCGTGAGGTTAGCTATGATCTTGAGACAGGAATGAAACTTCCTACCGAGGTTTGTATACTATTTTATTTACAACCATCATATTTCGATCAAAGTTAATAAAACTCTGTTTCGTTCTGAACATACCTAAAATATTACATTTAACGACAAATTACCAAGCGCGCGGTTTTCTCAGAATAATCAAGTAAATATATTGTTACTGTGATTACGGGGTAAACAACTGTCACCAATATAAATAAATGTCAGATAAAGCCGGATATTAAATTCGCGAATAATAAAAATCAATAAGTAGTTTGTTGTATTTTAGTTCATTGTTGTTTTTTATTGTTTGCCATTAAATAGGTATTATAAAATTTGTCAAAAAAATTTTTTTTTAAATATAAAAAGTATTCATCTAGAATAGATGAAATGAGGGCGGGAAGTAGAGGTGTGTAATGTGACACTTCCAAACCTTCAATGACGTTAGTAATGACATTACATATATGGTTGTAAATAAAAAAATTATTACCTACATTTTTCTTCAAGGCATAAAAGCTTATGTTTATTTTGAAAAACATGGATGATTAATTTATATTTTATATAACTGTCTATATCATTGACCAGACTGACAGGGTTGCCATATCAATGCACACATACAACCATTTTGTTTGGAATGCTTGATTATTTAAAGCTGCTTTGTCATATTATCTTTTTTTGTGAAAAATCTCGGAACTACTGAAAATTATAATAGGTCAATTATAAACACAAATGTCATTAGATTGGCTGCAAAAATCATCTCACTGATAATTTAAATGTGACGTTATTCTTGCAAAATGATTAATTTTTGCCAAATGTTTTAAATAAAGTGCTATTAAAGTCATCTTAAAAGGAAAAGGATTAGTTATGAATCTAATTTCAGACGTAGTTGGAATTTGTAGAATTGTGTTAGTGTCATAACTAGAAACACATATAATTATTATACGGTATAGGTATTTATTTTTTACTCGATTTCTAAATTTTTGTTGTTATTGAAATTAACGTGTCTTGGCATCAGAAGCCATTGACACAGGACAATATATTATTACAAGGGTTAAAACCCAATTAAAAAGAAAAAGTACATATCTTGATTTTTCATTTTTGAAATTTGAATTTCTATTGCATTAACAAAATGTGTCAGTATTACTATTCAAAATGAGCTATGTTTGATTTTCATAAGCACCCGGGATGTAAAAAGAAAATCAATGGCATATAAAATGATTATTATCAAAAATATTTCAAAATTATTGATCCAATATCTGAAAGAGAATCCTTTTTTGCTAGCTTGCATTAGCCAACGGATGATCAACAGAGCTACCGATTAGTGGCGCAGATGACTATATAGAGGAAGTTGAATTCATCTGGGAGGTACTTTATAGGGGGTTGTTTTTCTACTTTAAGATCAGTTATTTACACGGAGAAGAAAATTCGTCAAATAAAAGTTGCTTGTGATATCATTTTCTATAATTTTTGTTCCATACATGATTTTCCTAAAATGATCCGTATTCGAGAACTTTGACAAAAAGTACAAAGAAATTGTTCAAATAAAAGTTGTTTGCGATATTATTCACTATAATTTTTGCACTATACATTTCTCTAAAATGGACCGTAATGGAAAAATTTGAGGAAAATTGTAGAGTTTTAATTTTTCAGTATTTTCGTTGGAAATGAATATACAGGGTGTCCCGAAATTAGACGGTCATATTTTAACAGCGGGATCTACATTCTAAAATAAGAATAAAAGTTCATATAAACATAGGTCCGAAAACGTTTCGTTTTCGAGATACAGGGTGTTACAAGTGAAGTCCTGATGGTCTATTTTTGTAAATATTTTTTAAAATTTCTTTAGTCACTGGTTTTCCAAAGTAAAAAAAAATTAATTTCTGATTTCACAGGCCTACTAATTATTGTTTACACTTTCGAATAACTTATCTTGAAATTTTCAAATGCTTTTTTCTTGAAAATGGTGCGTCCTAGAGAGATGCAACAATAGTAACTTTATTATAAAGAAAATATTAGTTTTCCAAATTTTATAGTCAAAAATGGTAAAAACTGTCAACTTAGGGCAATTTTACCCTAAGCCCCCCCTACTTTACCCACCTATGAAGATGATCAAAAACTGAGGTTTAGTCCATTAGATAGAGCGTAAAAAGTTTAACATTTGTACCAAATTTTACTTACTTATCTTTGAACTTTTAGAAAATATTTACAAAAGAGTGTCATCAGGACTTCACTTTTAACACCCTGTATCTTGGAAAAGAAACGTTTTCGGACCTATGTTTATATGAACTTTTACTCCTATTTTAGGATGTAGATTATGCTATTAAAATATGACCGTCCAATTTCGGGACACCCTGTATATAAAAAAATGTTTCGAATAAGATATGTGTGAAAAATGTATGTAATTAGATAATCCTCTAAACATTTACAGGGGTGATACAATAGGTTATAGTCATGTATTGGACACATCCGATTTATTTTTTAATGAGGTTAAATGCAGCCTTTTAGAGAAAGTCCTTTAAGTCTAGTCATATCTAAATGTTTTCAACCTAGAAACAATATAGCAGCCTCGTGCCCTCCAAAATCTAATTAAATATGTGCATGCAACATGTGAAAATGTATTAATGGTTAAAAAGTTCAATTTGCCCCACATACAAATTAGTTTTGCAAACAAGTTTTTATTCTAAACTAGGTTTCAGCCACCGTTTGCAGATTTTAGCTTCACAATTTTCAATCGAAGGATATCTCCTTTTATCTTCAGATGAAAAGTCCAATTTTTCCTTACTTGATCCAAAAATTTATACATACAATTTAAAAAGGTTTCAATTTTAGCATTAATTTTCCAACATAACTTTAAGAGTTTTCAAAAAAATCACAAGATATGCTAAAGGCAATGTTTATTTTATAGAGAAATCTACACTACAAGGTTATTAAAATACCCATAACTTTTTTTTATTATTGTTTTAGTTAAATCAAATGGTCGCAAGTCAGTGTCAACTGAACTTTACGTTACAAAGGTATACATGTTTGTCAATTCTTGCCAAATTAATATTATTTGAAGTGATAGGCTATTGAAAAAAAAAAACAAGGAAAAATATTGAAAATTATTCTATGAAAATTGTTTATTATTAAATCGCACTAACTTGATCCCAACATGAAGGCGTTTCCATAAAAACGAAACGTTGTGTTATCATTTTAAATAGATAGTTTTAAAGTACCAACGAAACAACAACAAAAAAGTGATAGATTACAGTTCGTCAAATTTCTAGAGGCTTTCGACGGCTAGACAGAGAAAGCACTACTGACAGGCATCCCGACGGATTTACGCAATGAAAGTACACTCTGCGCATCAAGTATTTCACTATTTCATTCAGACGTAAATGTCAGATGTAAATTTCGCTAAAATATTTCTTTTATTTTCGTTTGTGTTTTTTGCTCATTACAGTTTAATAGAACCTAAGTATGGAGTTTAATAGCAAATTAAGAGGCCGCGTGATTAACAGTCAATCTCGCGAAATAATAGCCAATGTTATAGAGTTTATGAGAAGAGAAGGAAACTTTAATTCACCTTCAATACCATTTAAAAATGTAAATGATCGTGTTGCTGCAGCCACAGGAGTATCTAAAAACACTGTCGTCCGCATTTCTGGAGAGAAAAAAAGAATCGATAACCGTGAGATATCGGAATTTTCATCACCAAGAAAAACCATTAAAAAACCAAAAACAGTTAATGATATAGATGAAGCTGCACAAGAATCAAATTTTATTTTTTTATTATTAGATAGCTATTTTTGTTTCTGAGTTGTGTTCATTTACAGGCTCAATTTTTTTCCGTTTCTCCTTTTTGATTTTATATGGGGTTTCAAGTTGTTTTTGACTTATTTCGACGTAAATCACAACAACACACTTTTTTAATAAAGCAAACAAGTGTTAAGAGGTATATGTACGTGTAAACTACAATTACAAAAAATTGATATGAAACCCATGAAACCACCAACAAAAATGTAAAGCTAGCTTCCGTACTAGAACATGGTGTCATTCGTCGAGATAATTTATCGTTTTGTTTAATAGATCAAGAAATGTAAATATTCCCCTGTTATTTTTTATAAAATTATAAGAGAAATAAATTTTTTTCTAAATAGTATAGTTTATTATTTTGTAGAAAAACAAAATTTCGAAAATTTTAGTAATGTTTCAGAAACAACCGTTATTAATAATAGGTACCATTTTCCTTAATAAGGTAGAAATAAAATATAAACTATTTCCACGATTTACAAAGGCCTACAAAAAAATTATAGGTATTTTCCGCTATCCTATAAAATTTATATTTTCTGACTCAATTTCAAAAGGTTGAAGGAATTCCAAAACACCTTTTATGGCATAATAATTATTTTCAATTCTACATACTATCTTTAGCTGCTTTTAAAAACGTTCTAAGAAAGTCCAATCAGACCAATTTAATCCCTAAACTATTCCACACTTTTAAAATTTAATTACCTAAAAATATTAAAAACTATTTAAAATAACTTGTTTAGCAGACTGTAAATAGCTATCTTAGTCACACGTAGCGCGTTCTCTGTCTGGGCGTCGAACACCTCTAGAAATTTGATGAACTGTAGTTAAAAGTTCCAAAAATTATAGAAATAATGAAAATAATGTTTGAGCCTCCAAAGTGAAAACAAATTAATTAAGCATTCTAAACAAAATGGTTGCATGAGGGCATCGTCAAGGTCATATAGATTGATCATATGTTTTTCAAAATATGTAACATACAACACATAATCAATGATCTTGTCAAGCCCACCGGCAGCCATTTGGACGGTCCCCTAATTGAATAATCGAAAAAAGGATGTGCTGGGGTAGGATTCGAACACCATATCCACGTTTTACGCACGCTGCCTTACTAATTCGGCCATCAGGACATTAAATGCCTCAAGTCCGAATTACTAATTTGAATATATTAAATTTGAATCTTAAACGGTGACAGAATATCAATTTTTCAATCAACTATCTTTGCGTTGAAAGGTATTTCGGGAAACTTTACACAAACAGATGATCTAGGGGGCGGTACTACTAGTGGTCGATTGAAAAATAAAAATAAAAGATTTAATTTTTTCTGTATAACTCGCAAACTATTCTGGATATATGGAATGTTTTAACGCCATATTATTGTCCACCCTTAATAGGCAACTTTTTTTTAATTCAAGCATATTAACTATGCTCCATAGGTTGCAGATGGTGGGATATTAAGTTGTAATATCCCATCATAAATAGGTTGTAGAATTGTAATAAATATATAATTGGAGAGTAAGAAACAAGACGTATATAAAAATAGTCATAATAATAAATAGACAAAGATTTCTTGGTAACCGAAGTTGCCAACGAGTGACTTTAACGTAATGAAAGGCTGTGTAAACGGTGACAAGTGTATGATGCATGTGAAGCTATAAGGTAAGACGGAGATATGTACTACATCTGAGTCACTACAAGATTCAAGAGTTGCAGACTACATAACTCTATAGAATTAGAATATTTTACTGATTAAGTTCGCCGTATCTCAAATAGTTATTGATATCTGATGAAAATTACTGTATAAAATAACTTATCAATATATTTATACAGTAAAAATATGCCAAGAATATAAAAGACAAAAAATGTTAGTTCAGAACAAAAAAAAATTTTTTTTAATAAAAATATAGTAAATTAATAGAAAGTTTCTTAATTTATGTAATAGAAAAGCCGACCCTTCATCGAAACATACCTCATTTTTTTGTGGACTTCCGTCAATCTCGTTCGGAGGCTCAGGAGACGTAGCCGGAGGTACGGGTGACGTAATAGTCGGTAATTCCCCTACGCCTACCATATCCGTCATACTCTTGATGACCATTTGGGCCTGAATGGCGTCTTGTTCGAGCGATTTTAGTCTTGCCGCTCTCCATGCCGCCCTTTTCTCTGCTCGCAGAGCTCGTTCTTCGGCAGGAGACAATGGAGTGTCGTCTTCGTCCGTTAAAAGTCCTTCTTCGCGTAGACGGTCGCGAAGTCGGCGTTCGGCCTTTACGGTTCGTACTATACCGATAGTACTCGAAGGTCTAAAAAAAATCGTTAGTATTGTAATTTGATTATCAAAGGGCATGTGCAAACTGAGGACAAAAGCGTGTAAAAACAAGATGATATATTGTAATTTGATTATTAAATGGCAAGCGGGGATTAAGCACAAAAGAGTGCGAAAATAAGATGTAAGAAAACAAGACCTTGAAGAGAGATAGAGGTCCGGTCATCATAAATATAAAGAAATATACAGTTGGAGGCAGATTGCGGTGTCTGCAAAGCCCCACCATATGTTCTAGAGCGACAGAGGAATAAAGAGAAGGATATGGAGTAAGCAGGACATTGAGTAAGGATAAAATGAACGAAAATTGTATTTTCTTTACCTAGAACGCTGTGACTCCGCTGATTCTCCGTCGGAATGGTCAAGTTCATGCAAAGAATTAATGTCTGAAGTCGATAGAGTCGCTATCTTCTTTTCTTCTTCAGCTTTTAGCTTCTCTAATTCGTCAGCACTCAAATAACTGAACACTTTTTCTGAAATGAACAAAATTGTATTTATATTGCTTATTTAATTAATTTAAATTATTTAAATACTCTTTAAATACTGGAAAACAAAAGTTGTAGTAAATAAAAATACTCTTTTGAAATAATCCTATTTTGACTCAAGTCTAAGTTTTCATTTCATGCAAGTCCTGGTACAATTAATTTTGGTAATTTGCAAATCAAAGTGAAGAAGGAAAAAAAAAGAAGAGGTGAAGAAGAAGTTTATGATATTAATTATTAACATGACTGCTTTTGCTGTCTATACATACCTGGTTTTGAAGGTTTTTGACTTTCCTCCATAGCCGTTTCGAAAAATTTCTTTCTATCGCTCACAGACTGCTTTGGTGGATTGTTTTGAGGAGACTGTGGAGGCTTTAAAAATTTAAGCGGTAAACCAAAATGCCAAAAAAACTCGAAAAATATATGTAACAGTATTAGAAAAATATATCTTGTTAGAACATCACCCCCAAAAAAATTATATATTGTTATTAAACCCTTAAATTATACTTTACTTTAAAATACAGATGAAACACGAAGTTTAACATTATCTACTGCATGAATTAGATAATTATAATTTATTTTTCTGGGAGTGTTACTATTAATAACCTAACCTAAGAAAACTACATCTACAACTTATTTCTATGTTCAAAATTACCTTTGCCACAGTACCATACGTCCCTAACTTTCCACTAGGAAAAGCCATATCCTTTCGATCAGAAATTACCAAAGAAACAGGCCTATTTGGAACAGTAACTCTAGAATGTTTATTTTTTAAATAATCAGACTCTAAAAGATTATTTTCGCTTCGCGCAGGCGTGATTTTTGAAGTTTTAACAGGTACAGGTGGTGGAATTTTCTTAACCGCACCCTTCGGAATAGGTGGGGGAGGAACTTGAGGTCGCACGATAAGTCTGGTAGGTGTAGTGGGAGTGGTAGGCGGGGTTGGAGATAGGGCACGTTTCTCATATATTTCTGACGTGGGACGTGTAAGTTTAAACGGTGCTGGTGTAAAATGTCGATTCTTAGTAGTAAGTTCATGACTACTTGTTGTTTGTTCAGTATCGGCCCAACTTCTAATGAATTTGGTATTTCTATCGATTGATGGTTGGTTATGTATTCTTAAAGGTACGTTAGTTTCCGATATTTTTGTTACAATCCTTTTATAATCAGGCGGATCCATATTCTCAGTGTCGGAATATTCCAATGGATCTTCCAGGGAATATGTTACGCGTTTTTTAACAGCTCCTAAAGGTGGAGGTGTCACCTTCTCCGTTTCCGTCAAACTTGTCACAAAAACTCTATTCCTTCTATCAGTATTTGCGGGTACCAATACATTATCTGTAGGATGTTGCTGAAGAGGTTCTTCAGTTTCTGTTTGAACCGTCAATATTTCTTTATTATTATTTTCAGTAATAGCCGTTACAGAAACTTCTAAATCTTCTGTAACTCCAGAAGAAGCGACAACATCGTCCTTTAAACTAGTAACAAGTTTTTTTAATGCTCCAATTGGTGGAGTAACAATATCGTCTTCTGCAAACCTTAAGTGTTTGTTTTTATTTAAAGACGTTGTAGTTGTTACCTGGACAGATGTTTCTAATATTTTTTCCTTAGTGAAAACATCATCATCTAGAGGCGGGGGCGGTTGAGTGGGGAGCGGAGGAGGCGGTGTTTTAGGAAGCGGTGGCGGCGACGGAGACCTCATGAAATTTGTGGGAGAGGATCGGTAGTCTAAAATTGGAGTTGGAGATAAAGACCTAATAGAAGGCGTATCATCTAGATCTAATGGAGGTGGAGGTGGTACTACGATGATATCATCATCAGCGAGTAGTTGAGTACCTGTCAAACTTGAGAGACTATCTGTGGGAGGTGGAACTATTGGGTAACCGGTAAAATTACTCATATAGTCATATTGATATGTGTTGTAAGGCTGAGGCATATTGTTAAAAACGTTAATTTGAAATGGTTGATCGTGAGGAGGCATATTAAAAGAAAATTTATTATTATTATTGGAAAAATCACTACTGACTCTTGGAGGATGTACAGAATAACTCGTATTAGTCGGGGCGGCATAATGGTTAGTGTAATTCATATGCTCATACTGATCTGTTTCTATTTCTGAGTAATTCAGGGGAGGAGGTATTACGTTTGGCAAGCTTTCGGTTAAGGTACTAATTTCATCATCAATATTAGTAGTGTTTTTCTGAATGTGATTTGGTTGTAAGGTTCCTGTATCCACATCTGTGTTAGGTTTTGTAGATTTTGGTAGCGTAGATGCATGCAATAGGTCGTCCTGTTAGAAATCCAAATTTTAGTTCGGAAGAAATTTGGTTTTAAAGACCATCACCTAAGCTTTTAGCGAGAGACAAAGACAATCGATATGGCTAAACGAAATTATAGTTTTAAAGGGAAATTTTTAAGTAATTCTAAAGAATTGGTATTATGAAGAACATTATGAAAGTCCTAAATTTAGTACTGTAAAAATTACCCTTTACATAATTACCTTTATTGTATGGGACGAAAACAAAACAAATTATATACCAACACCAGTTTTTTATACCAAAAATATATTTCCCAATCAAAATCACAAGGAGTTAAATATAATATAAGAAATCATTAATGGAGATAATGTTTTTTAACATCAAATATATATATTTTTAATTTTTTTGTTATAACTAGTGGCTGGACTGTTTCATAGTGATACAAAAAATATTTGTACCAGTATTATTTAGAGAAATTTGAATGTAGTTTATTAAAATAAATTAATAAATTTAACTTATATTTCGATATTTATTTCTGTTGTTTGACAATTTATTAAACAATTCCTATAAATAATACTTTCAGTGCAAATATATTGATATAATAAATTATGTTGTAAACTAAATTTTTCAAAATATTTTATGTATATTTAATTTACTTAAATAATATATTTGTTATTATTACGCACAACATAGAGTTACAGTAAATATATATAATTTCATTATTGTTAATTTCATAGATATACTGTTTTTATTTTTAGAAATAAATAAAGGCACGTATTTTATTTACAAAAACACCTGTTTCTCTTTCCTTATAGTAACATTTAGAAGATAGGAAAATCTATTACATTTACATATTTTTTTAATTTTAAAAATGCCACGATATTATACTTAAAAATTGACCATGTAATAATTTAATAAACTACCAAAATAGGTGAAAAAAGTTTGAACCATAAGTTTGAAAACATTTTTCGCATGAACAGCAATTCCTACTGGGTGTTATATAGGTTGTTATGGATAACACTCTATAAATCTTACATTTGGCACGTAGTTAAGGTGAATAATGGAGCAAAAAAACCTTAGTTTTGTACTAAAATCCCCTTTTTAACATGTGAACTTCTGAACAAAAGTCGTTCATATCTTGCAAAATACCAAAGTAAAAATTAAATGCTGAACAGATGTACAACAAATGTTATCAGTGGCGTAGCTACCAAAGGGCAGATCGGTGCGAAGCACCGAGGCGCCGAAGACATTTGGGGCCGTACAGGGTCTCTCTGATAATTTTTTAATTATTTTATAATATTCAAATTCGTAATAGTTTTAAAAATTATAGCACAAAGTACAAGACGTTCTCAATGGAGATTGTTAGATTAGAGTCTATTTTGTAGTAGGGCTCGGAATTGTATTCGGTTAATTCGAATACTCAAAATTCGATACTTTTAGATCGAAATTATTCGAATAGTACCTAGTCGAATAGGTGAATATTCGACTAATTCAACGAGGTATTCGATACTCGAATATTCGACTATTCGAATACTTAAATATCGGATTACTGTAAATGTTCGAATACTCGGATATTTATTTTGAATTTATTTATATAATTTAAATGTTTCTTCTTTATCTATTGCTTAAAAATAAAGATGGAAGAAAAAGGACTAACAAAATTCAGACTTGGGAATCGGGACTATTACGTTACGGCACTATTGTATTTATTTATTTCCTTGTAGCGCTGGCGTTTTATTTGGTAAATGAGGGGAACCCCAACGTTGTTTCACGTTTGTACTTTTAAAATGCTTGTTTATTTTTGTTTAGTTATGACTTACTATTCCTTTTTATTCCTATTAGTGTGTGTATGTCTGTCAACGCTTGTCCGCTACAGGTGTTAAATATGAGTTCAGAACGCAGTAAGGTTTGGCTTTACTTCGATAAAAAAGAAAATCGTGTGCAGGGTAAATTATGTACTTACAATGTCATACACAGAAGTAATACCAGTAAATTGTGGAATCAATTAGGAACCAAGCATCATACCAAAATAAACAGGTATAAATTATACGTTATTCGAATAATCAAATATTCGAATATTCTTATACTCGATTACTCAAATACTCGAATACTCGTATACTCGAATTCTCGAATAAAGTTTCAAACGAATATTTGAATACAAAAATCTGAATAATTCCGAGCCCTAGTATATAGTGGGACGGTATAGTATATTACATTACGAGTGTGGAAAGTGACATTTTTCACACGAGCGGGAAATATTATCGCACGAGGCACAAGCCAAGTGCGACTATCACACGAGTGTGGAAAATCATTTTTCACACAAGTGATGTACAATATTTTTCCTACGACCACGAAATAATTTCATCAAAAAATGTAAAACCAAGTTATTATAATAATTAAAATGTATTCAAAAAAATAATCAACAATAATCGTATTTATTCAATTTTCATATTTTCTAAACAAAAACAAAAAAACAAAAAACAAAAAAAAAATAAAAAAAAAATCTGTCCCCGCAAGAATTTGAATGTGGTCGCTCGCCAGGTCTCAAATGGCAAAGTTGATATAGATGGATACTCTACCACCTGAGCTTATAGGCCTTGCGTCAATTGAATGATGTAATCGGTTATGTGTTTAACCGGAATAAAAAGCAAACATAACTTAGTTATTTTAAAATTATTTTAATAATAATTGTTAAAGATAATTATCTAAGATCTAATTTACAACAATTTCAATAATTTAACAATCATATCGATTTTAGTATTAATATAGACATTACATAGATCAAAATAGAAATGATGCGTTTGACATTTTGTGACAGCTGATGCGGAAAGTAGCATATTCGCACACGGGTGGAAAGTAAATTCTTATTCATACGCGTGTGATATAGGGTACTTTCCATAGGACTATATAGTGTGATATGTCACTTTCCTAAGTGGTCGTAGGAAAAATGAATTATTCATACGTTACAGTGTACCTTTTATGTCAACCAAATGTATTAATCACAGATTTCACATTTATCGACAACGCAATATGGGGAAATCTCTTCCACATGATAATTTGGTGTAATGTTTTTTTTTTCTTTTTGAGCTTTCATAAAAATATCCATAGAAATTTAAAATAAAAATCAAGACTAATAATAATAATACCTGTGATTGAGTATATGGGATGCATTATCCTATAAGTTTGAAAATGTCATAAACAAATTTTACCACCATATTTTCGTGTGAAGTGTAATATAAAATTATTATATAAAATTATTCATTAATGAAGAAGTTTAATTCTGCTCTCAGTTATACAAAAGATACATTATTTTTCATTTCATTTAACCAGTTGATATTTCCCCAAAGAGCAGGTCAAACTTTCGGGTACTTACCTAGAAATACTCATAAAATTTTTAGTCCGAAACCCGCGTAAGTATAGCGAACAGAGTGTAGACCTGATTTACTGCAGAAACATGGCGTGCAAATTTCATGGGTTACAATTTTTTTTTTTTTTTGATTCTGATTATTAAATTGTTGGAATTATAATTTTTTTCCGATTTCAAAAATAAAAGGCTGACAGTGAAAAAAAAATTGTAAGATAAACAAAATGATGAAAGTCACTTTTATTTCATATTTGGGAATAAAATTTGTAGGAAAACCGAATCTGTTATCGAATATTATTATTCTTCAAACCAAGAAAATTAAATTCCGAGTATTCAAAAATATTCTATGTATAAATCAAATTTAATTTTTTATCAGTAGCATTCAAAATCGCGATCTGCCTAGCAAAATCACGTACAATAACGAACCTAAACTGATAATATTATCAACGGTTATAAAATTGAGAATTTTGAAAAAATTCCGCAGTTGATTGAAATTAATCATTTGATGAGATTTACATTAGATTAGACCAGAGTATAGTAAAGTTTTCCGAAAAAGCTATCATCATAACCCGTCGCCGTTTTTTTTTTTTAAAGTTCCGTTAAGCAAGGTAAAGAGTTCCTGTAATTTTCCAAATTTATATATTATACCACTAGCAATACACAAACCACAGTTAGTTTTTATTTATATTCCGAAAAACCAAACATTTACATTCCTTTTTTAAAATAAGTCACTATCATAATATGAAAAATGTGGTAGTTGAAACGCCTTAACCTTAGATTTTAGGACACAAGTATACAATGGGTAAGTTCAGACAGACAAATTCCATTCGCTCCTCTCTAACTCCAAACGACCCTTTTAGTGTACATTTTATTCCCATTAGTGAGAGTTCAACACGCTTAAATATCATTTAAAAGCACTATTAAAAACTTCGCTCTTGTCCCGTTCCAGTCCCTGGCTAATTCGAATGATACTAATATAGTTATTAATAATTACCTACCTATATAAGGGTGTTATCCATATCATCCTGTAAGTGTGTAGGGAGCTGTTAAAGAACATATGCAAATATTAAGAATTGGTAACAATGGGGAAGCCAATTCATAAATTTCTCTTAGCCACTCTTAGAATATTATGTAGTTTTCACACTTTTGGCTCATATACATTACTAGTGGTTGACAATGTTAAAAAAATATCAAACAAGGTTATTAGAAAATTTCTATAGGGGTCCAGTTAATATATTAAAAATAAATAACTTAAATCAATCTAATTTTCTCTTATGAACTTATTTGTTATAATTATAGTCTAGAAATCAACTCTAAAATATTATTAATTACAGACATTTATATTAACAATAGGAAACGTTTAGGAATACAATTTCTCATTATTTTTTTTAGTTAAAATTATTCATAAATCTATCCAGATATACTTCGTGTATAACATTCAGTACGCTATATTAGTGATGACGAAATTTGTAGAAGAGTTATAAAAATAGAGGTTATATACAGAGTATCCCACTAGTGCGTAATTGTTCAATAAATCAATTTTTGTAATAGACCCACAATCAAATTTCAAATAAAAGTTATGTGGATTTAAAAATTAAATATTTTAAAAATATTTTTGGTTGGCACTGTTGAAATGTAATTAATATCAGCCAAGAAGCCGCAGATGAT